ATTTAATCACATATTTCAAAACGTTATAATATAAAATGAAATGAAGAATAGAATTAAGAATACTTCCAGTGAAAGTAACGATTTTAAATCATTTACATTTATTTATAATTTAAAAATATATATATATTTTTAAACATTGTTTTTTAAGTTTAAATGAAGGTTTCATTTTTAATATTCACTGCAGGAGGATTTCCTTCAAACGGAAGGATTTCAAAATTCTATGAAATGTTTATATTTAATTTGTCTTACATATTAAAAATACAGTATTACATTTTATTGCTGTATTTATTTTAAAAAATAGAGATAAAAGATTTAAAAAAAAAAACAATTAATTTAAGCAAATTTTATTATTTTTAAATGTTTTTTCCCAGTTTGCAATAATAAATATAATATAGAAGTGAATATTACAAACTTAACGGCAAGGCCCTACGGCTTATTAGTCATAGGGCCTTGCCGTTAAGTCTGTAATATCTGCAATAGGAATTTTTTGAAGTAGTAATGTTTTCAATACATTATACGAGGATTATAATGATTGAAATATATATATATATATATTCGTATATATTAATTGGAAATAATAACAAAATTACTATAGATTAGACACTAAACTCTTGCTAATCCGGCAATTTTTTGCCAGATTAGAAAACGTGTCGGATTAATGAGAGTGTAGGCTTAAAAGCCTGTCTAAAGGCAATGAATGACGTGACCGGTCGCTTTATGTTACTGATTCTTTTACAGCTTTATTATTTATTAAGATAAACACGAATAAGAGATAAACATAATAATGGGGATATGTCGGATAATCGAAAGACCGGATTGTTAAGAGCCAGATTAACAAGAATATACCGTACTAATAAAATACATTATATCAATATAGTAAAAAATTTTAAAATATGTAATTTTATGATACAAATAAAAAAATTCAGCAATGAGTTAATTAACTTCCCGGCAAAAAAAATTTAAACTGCGTATGTGGCGCCATCTCTTATGATATTTTAGTATTAAAAACTTTTTATATTTTTAATTATTATAAAATGGCAGAAAGTTTAATTTTGAGGGTAGGGATGAGTTTTGTAAAAAAAAAATAAAATAATAATAAACGCTAATAATAAGTAAAATCGTCTACTAGAGATACACACAAGCCCTTTATTTCCCCACCTCCTCGACCTTTAATTAATCACCAAAATTTAACAACAACAGTCTCTCTAATATACAAACCTCCCTGTAAAATTTCAAAAATTTTCAATCAAAAGAACAGGAATTATTAAGCTTTAAACAAAGTAAACAAAATCGTTTTCTCACCCATAATACAGAAATTACCCCCCTAATTTCTTTGTATTTCTCGACGTTTTAACGTCCCCCGAGTCTAAAAAATGTAAAAATCTCGGGGGCCAATATTTTCCCTCTGTTAAAAGTATTACCGTTTAAATTATTAATTAATAATAAATGTAAAAAGAAGAAAAAAAAGTGCCGTGACCAGGATTCGAACCTGGGTTATTGCGGCCACAACGCAATGTCCTAACCACTAGACGATCACGGCAACCGGACACGTCTGTAAAATCTTCTTATCACCTATAAATATCCAAAAGTTACTAAAGTGTAACAAGTAAATTGAAAAAAATACGGAAAGAAGTTAAATACAAAAAAGTAGTTTGTTCGGTTGCTGGTCGTTATCTACAGTATACATTATATATAATGTTAAAGTGTTCTTGTATATAACAAATTTGTGAAGTAAAACAATACAAATATTTTAATTATATTATGTTAATTGTATTTAATTATATACATTTTTATCTACAAGAATATAATTTTAATTTCGTTAAAATTATATTGTATTGTTTTTATTTTAAACTTTTTTTTATTACTCCTTTATTAAAATAATCCCTATTTTAAAATTCTTAAATTAATTAAAATTATTCTTAAATTTAGATTTATACTTTAGTATGTATTGAACATTTTACAGATTGTCAGATGCGATTGAAATGTATGCAAAATACAGTAGATCCCCCTATAACACTGTAGATAATTCCGTGTTATATGAATTCCGTGTTATACGAGTCACTTAGATTTTACAAATACGTGAACCGTTCATAGCCCGGACCACGTATTTGTAAAATCTAAGTGACTCGTACAACATGGAATTCATATAACACGGAATTATCTACAGTGTTATAGGGGGAGTCGATTGTATTTTATCAATATTTATTAAATTTACACAAATCAAAAACAATTTATCATAAATATTTATATAAAATATTTAATAATAGTTTACATTTCATTTTAAAATCTAACGTCCATTACATTATTGATGGAAAAATCATTATTTTAATCAGATAAAATACACAGACATTGATTACTTGTATTTAAAATATCGCATAAATTTAAAATTGATGATTTTTAATAACTGTTTTAAGTCTTCTCCAAAAGAAAATTTGCGAACCTTCCATAGAAGGCCACTCTAAACATATTCTAGTTTTAAGAAGATAAACAATGGGTTTTTTAATTAGATCTTTGTTAAGTTTTTCCATTTTTACTAAGATCAAATCGTCTCTTTTGTTCTCAAATAACCTATGTTGAGCTAAATGTATTTCAAGCATGCACCATTCACTCTTCATAAAACAGTTAGATATTAACACTACTATTTTACGACTTTTATCAATACTATCAATAATATTTTGGGTAACATTTCTGCCTGCGAGAAAATCTCGATCGTGGACACAAAGCTTTAATCCAAATTCTTCTGATTCCAGATGAGGGACCAATTGTTCGTATACCCATTTACTTTCTGTAACACAATACACTACAAATGCATCGTATTCATAATATTGCAATGCTTTTTCTTCTCGTCTACAATTGTAGAATATATTTTTAAAACGAAACCAAAAATAGCGAAGATACCAACGATAGTAATATAAAATGGAACTTAATATTGATACGAAACATAAAGAAAACATAATGGATAATGTTATTGTTATTGTCATATCTGTAATGAAGTCCAAACAATCTTCATATCTAGAATTGAGATCTTTCACTTTTTTGTCGGTTAATTCTGTAGGAAGAGAACAAATAAAATGATCAGAATCTCTATAATTGGTGCCATTCAGCCACGTATGAAGGTAATAAAGGTTGCAGGGTGAACAATAAAATGGATTGGAAGATAAGTTAACGAAATCGATATTTAATAAAATATCGATAATTTCTTTGGAAAATAAGCTTATGCGATTAGAAGATAGATCAAGAATGTGCAGCTGGGAAAATTCTATAGGAATAATTAATTCCTTGATCTGATTGTTCTTCAAATTTAAGTATTGTAGACTGGGATGAGAAAAATTATAAACACCTTTAATAAAATTATTTTGAAAATTTATAAATGTAAGATTCAACGCCATACTAATAGATTGTACGGGGATGTTCATAAAACGATTGTTACTTAAATTGAGATGTTGAAGAGAATGCAAATTTACGAAGACATCATCAGGTAGACTTTCTAAATAGTTGTCAGCCAAATCAAGGGATAAAAGAAAGATTAAATTATTAAACGTTCCTTTAGGTATTGAAGTCAAATTACAACGATCAAGAAAGAGAGAGTGTAAATGGGAAAAAGCAGCGAATGATCCGTTTTCTAATTCCATTATAAGATTTCTGGAAAGTCTAAGTATTTTCAAGTTAGAAGGTAACGATTCCGGTATTCGAGTTGGTAAAGAAAACTTTTTACTATCAGGTTTATTTTCTTCCAAATTTAAATATGTCAGATTAACAAAACGTGGTTTATAGAATGGTTCGGGTATTGTATTTAATTTATTTTTACTAAGATCTACTAATTTTAAATCAGAAACGTTATCAAATGCATCTTTCTCAATATAATTAGTTATACCTCCCGTCATATTCAGCACTTTTAATTTAGGAATAAATGGAACATCACCGTTTCTTATTAATTGAATATCATTTTCTGGAAATTCCAACTTAATTACATTAAATTTTGCAATAAGAGAAAATACAGTTTTGCTCACAACCACTTCTTTAAAATATACTAACATTTCTGTAATTGTCGCTCTATCGAGATAATATTTCTTTTTTATTTCATTAATAAAATAAATCATATTATCCTCTGTAATTTGAAATTCTTCAATCCAATCATCAGAAAAAACATTATAAAAGTTCGTTTTAACAATAAATTTGCACGTTGTATTCTCAATTTCATACAGAAGATTTTGAAAATTCGAAAAAGTATCATTGCAAGAATAAATTACTTGAGCCATTTCATTCAATTTCTTTTCATTAAAAATTAAATTAATTTTCACTCGTTTCATATCTTCAAATATTAAATTTAATATATTCAATAATGGCAACTTTACGCTTTCATAATTATACTTTTCACTTTGTAATATCGAAAATTTCTCCACTGTTAAATTTGTATACCACAAAGGAATATTTTCACTTGTATTATAAAATTGTTCTACTTCTTCCGTGCTTTCCATTTCAAATGCCAATCTGATTATTATAGCGTGTTTCGTAGCGAGTAATAAATCAAAAAATGTTTCAGTGTAATAATATAAATTACACAATATACGAAGGTGATTTCTAGAATTTAATGAGACTTTGCAATATTTATTCAAATCTAATTCATATGTTTTTCGATCTTTATTGTATTCTTCATCTGTTTTTACAGCGTAAACGATCTTCAATGTAGAGACGAATGAAATAACCACGAACAATGAAGTAAATAACATATCTGAAAAAAAGTATTAGTAAATCTAAACACATACAGTTGATATCAATATTATAATTAAAATAAATAAGAATATAAAATACAATATATAGTCGATTTAGTAACACCGTTTGTTCTCCTTGAAATTGCTACTAAACCTATGAACAAAAGGGGCACTTTACGATAGAAAAAAAGTAAATTATTCACGACTGAAAGAGGATAGAAAACAAAGTTGCTCAATACTACTTAATTTTTCTGTTTCACAAGCTAATCAGAGTGATCGTCTGAGAACTTCACGGGAACGTCGTATTATTCAAACAGTAGGGTTGAAAAGATAATACAGTATTTTTAGATGGAATTGTATGCAGTACTTTGTTTGGTCAAATGTATCGGTGTTCTTAGGGAAGTGGATATATATATATACGTAATGCGTGAGTGTATATATATATATATATACAGTACTTGTATATACATTATGGTGGTGGCGCTGTCTTCAAAGAGATAAGAAATGGAATCTTTTTGCTCCTGCATTTTTAAAGTTTTTTCCTATAATTCTTATTATTTCTTATAAGTGTTATACATTTTTTGAAAGCGTTATTCATAACGACCAAGAATATGTTACGTTAGTACAATTTGGATACTCCTCTCTGAAATTACACGTTTTTGAAACTTTCAGTTATTCGGGCTTGATTTTCCGGACTATCTCAACCAATCAACCGGAACCTGATCTAGTGGCTTACTCGCACTACTTAAATGAGTACATGTTTCAAATTTTGGGGTTCCAGGCCCAGTATTTAAGGAGTTATTAACCACTTCCTGTTATTTTTCGGCAAGCCGTAACTCGTTTCCGGTGGGCTATATCCTAATAATTTCCGGTCGTTTCTTAGAAGACATCAAATGTGAATTTATCCCAAAATTTCACAAGTATAGCTTTAATAGTTTTTAAATTATCGTTGTTCTACGAAATCTTTAATTTTCAACATTGACCTCTACTACTACTATTTTCTAGAACATTTCACGGAAGAGACATATCATATATTTCTAGATTCGTCTGGAGTAGAGAAAGACATTGCACATAATTATAAGCTAACAAAATTAATATTTTAAGTTAAAATTTATTATTTTCTTCAGTATGGAATCTGAAATACAAATATTCCATGATACTGCTTATAGTATTTTCGACAAGATTAAGAGATATTCCCTGCAAAATCGAAATGCTAAATTTGGAGTAGAGTGTCATTTAACATATATATTGACACAATTCACCAGAATTATAGAATTAGCAGAATCTACTCTTAAGAATAATAATTTAGTTGAACGAACACTTTCAAAGTTAGTTACTAAAGAGGATTTGCTAGACTTTAAAGATGCTCAATTTGATGAATCTAAAGAAATTCTAATGGATATTCAATCCGCAGTACATAACCAAAGGAAAACTACTTCTGACAGTGTTGCTGGCGAAAAAGTTCCTAGCACCCTTAGTTATAGAGATACCCTACTAAAAGGAATAAAACCAACCTTACCTGCAAATGAACCACCTCCACCAGAATACACAGTTTTGGTATATAGTGATAAAGTCGGTGCCACTTGTGATGAAACTAAACGTAATCTAACTAATAACGTGCAACCTGATAAACTTGGCATAGGGATACGTAGAATAAGGAAGATTAGGAATGGAGGACTTGCAATTGATTTAAGCCATAAGAATGAGGTAGGCTATTTTAAAGAGAATGTTGAACAAGTTCCTGGCTTGGTTTCCAGACTGCCGGAAAAGCGACTTCCACTAATCAAAATTGCTTCTGTTCCTAAAGGTATCAATAAAGAAGATCTCATATTAAATATCTTTGAGCAAAACATGCACTTTCTAGAAACTTTTACTGATCGCACTTTTGCTGAACATGCTACTATTAGATTTCCGCTTAAAGAAAAGAATGAAAATTATCTTTCATGGATTCTGGAGGTATCTCCACAGGTTAGAGAGAAGCTTTACTAGCTTCTCTCTAACCTGTGGAGATAAGCAGGGAAAATTCACCTTCTTTGGTCGACGTGTCAAGTTTTTGACTTTTTTCCTATTACTCAATGTTATCGATGCTTATCTTTTGGTCACATAGCAAAAAATTGTACCTCAACAGACAATGTGTGTAGTCATTGTAATGAGAATCATCTATATAAAAACTGCCAGAACAAACATAATTCACCAAAGTGTGCCAATTGTTTACGAGAAAACAGAGCACATAACTGTTATAATACAATGGATAAAACTTGTCCTGTATATCTTAAGGAAAAAATCAAATTTCAACAAAGGATTGATTACCATATATAGATATATGCATAGACTAACTTACATCTTTGTATATCATCAAGTATACTGTTGTATTTTGCATACTTTGATTTATTTGTAATCGTCTGTTTTTCTAAAAATCAAAGGACACATTACTCAACGTTAGTGCTGGCCTCAACTTTGGAGAGTTGCTGATTGTTGTGTATTTTTATTGTGATTTGTGAACACGTGTTTCATGACTATGATAAAATTTGATTATTCTTCGCTAATAATAGCAACTCACCGAGTATGTATGTAGTTGTACAGTTGTATATAGTTATTTATAGTTAAGCCAACTTTGTTTTCTTACATATTGCTTTTCACATTTATGATATTGATATATCCTATGTATTTATTTCCTGTTATGTTACGTTAACAGTTATATATAATATGTATTTATAGTTTAGTATTTTATTGTATGAATATAGTTGTATATAGTATATATTTTATTTCTTCATCATTAGTCTATTGTGTATAACATGTACTTCTGAGCATTGCTATTGTATTGAGTTTAGCCGGTAATGCTTTCTGCGGGGCCAGCCTGTATATATATATATATTTATATGTACAATAAATAATAATGAATAATGAATGTATATACATTATTTACAAAAAATAAATATTTTACACAAAAAACACTAGATATATACTGTACTTTTAATTTTTATTGTACTTGCTGGTCTTTAAAACAAAGTACAGTAACACTTAAAATTTTCATCTTAAATTAAAAAATAAACTGGCCTTAATTCAATGAGCATTGCAATATTTAGTATACAATATATATTATCAATAAAGTATACAGTAATTAAAAGTAATTATAGTCGATTAATAAAAACACTTCTACTTACGGATAGTTTAATGCAAAAAGGCATTAAAAATTGCTGTTTTAAATTCACTCTGAATCAATCATTATGTGTTGATCATAGTAAACGGCTTCATGATACTTGAAGATATACTGTAAAAAAATGTAGAAGGCATTAACTCCCAAAAGTAAAGTTTGAATTAGAGGAACTTTTCATAATTGGAATTTAAAAATTTACAAATTTCGTAAAATAAAATACTTTGTTGACCATATAAGTCCTTCCGGGAGGCAACCCTCCTCGACAGATTGTCCGTGTGTTGCTACCTCTATATTGATATAACATATACCGAACTCGGTAAGTTTTTGCTATTATTCAACAAAAAATTAGAAAACGTCATCGCGCAATACTTGACGGACTTTGCATTTTTTGTTGCTTCAAACACAATGGAGTGTTATAAATTAAGACACTTGGCGTTTTCTCATCTTCTCCAAGTATCTTAATTTATAACACTCCATTGTGTTTGAAGCAACAAAGTTCGAAGCATGGTTTCAGATTATAAAAAGATGACTTTGCATTTGTAAAAAAATATCTTAATCTTTATATTTTATTGTTTTTTTTTCATACCTGGTATACCAAGCGACAAAAATGACACTAAGTAGCGTGTAAGCCATTTCAAAAAGCAAATGATTTTTTCAATCCGCGAGTGTATTGATTGATTGGCATTAGATATTGAAAATGCAACACGAGGAGGATTTGCCAATAATGGAATATGCCTGCTAGGTGGGCTTTTAACAGACTCCTCTCTATCTGCCCACCCAATTGACCATTCTTCATCAAAATTTCATAGCATCGATTCTCTTTATATACAAACTATTAAACCAAATTTGATTTCTTAATCATTACCCCATCCCGAGATATTAAACGAAATAGACGCCAACACTCACACCCACACAACACACATATCCAAAGAATATTTTCCCGTTTGTTTGACTTTTTAGGTTCAGGATGTGTCAAAACTTAGATGGTCAAATTTGACACGCTTCCAATACTTTGTTATGTAGACATAACAGCCAGGAAAGCAAAAGCTTATGGTATCGTTCGAAGCGCCGAACTTATCTTTGCCAAAGAGAAACTCTCAAGAAAAGATTTAACTTCCATTTCGGGTGCCATAATATTTACTTGGCGCAATAACTTTTTATATCTCGGATGTATTTTGGATATTAATTGTTTGTTTTTTTTATTAATTTGGCTAATTAATGTTTTTCCTGACTTTCTATTGGCCTCGAGTTATCTATGTTTATCATCGCTTCTAAATCATTGTTTGGTCTTGAACAGTCAATAGAAAAACAACGAAAAAATAAAACCAAGATCAGAATCTAACTGTAAAAAAATAAAAGGAAAGCACCATCCTCGTATCGTGTCACAACTCCGTCGTCAGTCTCTTTAGATTTTGGACTGATTTGTAATTATCCGTATCCATATTGTTATAAATATCAGACCATAACAAAATAAATAAAGCCAAATGAAACTTTATTTAGTTCTTAACTATTGTAAGATATAAACAATAAGTAAACTCATGAAAATACAGTTAGTACTCCTTCGTCCATTTGGGAAGATCTCGACTGTGTTCGGATGTGGGCAAATTCTGTCAGAATAGTCGACGATTAGAAGGCATTCTTCCGACAAGCTGAATCATACGATTATGTTTTCTTTCCCCCTTATAAATTCACCTTTTTTCTAGTATACTTGTTAATGATAGCCGTTTTCTTTAGAAAGTTGCAAAACTCATGTACAGTACCTGACTAGATAAGTCGCGAATATATTTCGTCGTTTGAAAGACAACGTTTAGGCATTTAGGTACTAAAATGACTAGACTGACAAAAAAACAAATAGTAATTAAATGCAACAAAGAAAACTTACCGAGCGCCTATTCAAATTCATTGACTGCGATTGACTGAATATATTAACTCATGAAAATTAAAATTTTTTGATCAGTAATGAACATAATACGTTGTAGTTAATGCTTTTCGCTGTCAAAAAATATTGGTATTTAACAATGGTATCAAAAATCAGCCATACAGGATCGTGTAGTGAATTTTTGATAATTTGGAATTAATGCCTTCTGCCTTTTTCTGAATTAAATAAAGGAACACATTTCTCTACACAAAATTCTTTTTTAGTTGAAAATTATTGAACTGAATCGTTCCTATTAAAAATAGGGATGGGAAAAATCTTACATATCAAAATTGTTTTAAAATTTACTAAGAACATATGAATTTTATGATATTTTAAGAATTAGACGTGAGTGTAAGTTTATGTTAGGTTCAAAGTCCGAAAGCGCTTATTCAGAGGGGAGGAAAACAAACAGAAAGCATTGTAGAAACAGCCATTGTTTCATTGTTTCAAATGACATTATTAAAATGTCATAACGCGAGACGTTTCTGTTGTGACTGTTAAAAAATGACAACACATTCTAGCATTATAAACATACAGTAAACTTATCACAACTCGTTATGGCCATTTCCTGTTTGTTATATAGTAGCAAATAAGCAATTTAACATACAAGACTAAATATGAGATTGCCATTGTTCTTAATTATTAATTTTTTGAGGAATTGTTAGAACGACGCTTAAAATTATAATTGATATCTTTCGAAAAATAATTTTTATTTTCACTTCTTAATCGATGCAGTTCCTCTTACAATTACAGCTTAAAAAAACTGTTTACAGAATGTGTATATCAGGCAGTAGAACTGACACTTAAAACAATAACCTCTTTGTTATTCAGTTTTTCTAATAATACCTTGACTTCACTTAATTTATATACAATAGGATCAGTCAAATATTCCGAAGAAACCTAAAAGAACCATAGTGTAAATAATTCACTTTGTGTTCATTTCTTTTTTTTTTATACTCTTTCCTCTTTGTTGAGCACCAAATTGCATGTATTTTTGCATATATTTTTGCAAAAATACACGCAATTTAGCATAGTTTGCCGATTCAGTAGTGCTAGGAATGGATTAATATAATCATTCGTCATCAGTCAAAACACAGATCTATGTATAAAAGTTCCGCGTAAAACAAGATCCTACTGTATATTAATTAGGCTATATGAGTAAGTACCATACTGTACATGAGAAATATTTATATGAAAATATTAAATGTGTTTATTTTGTGTATATTTTTGAATAAATTATAAAAAAGTAGCACAGAAAAGTAAACTATTCTAGTCATAGATATACTACATGTATAAAAATAATGCTATTACAAACAAACTTACCAAATGCAACTACTCCATGCGAATATATAAACATTGTCTGATTAATCGCCACACACTTCCGTTGTATCCACGATCATATGACGTAAATCGCATCCTTCAAATTTCCCACTCACTTTCGAAATGAATTAACGATGATAATTTTTATTTAATTTAATTTACAGAAATTTATTTTATATCTTAAGTTAAATTTAGTAGAAGACTATTCAAAATCCAAGGCATTTTTTAAAAATACATTAATACTTAAATTAGTAATTACAATAAAGGAATTAAAAATCGCAAGAAAAGATAAATAGTCAGAATTATCAGCCAAACTGGCTGATAATTCTGACTATTAAAAATTGCAGTAAGTCTTGAAACACTTAATTGTTTCCTGTTCTTTCTTTAGTCTATAAAGAACTTAGACTTTATTTTGTACAAAATACACTTTATTCATCAAATAGTGTTCCTGTATGATAAGTTATACATAACAATTTTGTGCTTACTTCCAAAAAAAAGTCTGTAAACATTAAAAAGTAACCTTATCTAAAGACAAATGTCGTTGACATAGTACACATGATAGTTTCGCCTGTACTTGGGGAAATCCACTTGCGTATTCTATAAGCAATTGACTACATGCTATTTTCTCCTTTCAAATTTTATATTATCAGATAGATTAACACTGTTGATTTTTCCGTTTTATATGAATTCCGTGTTGTACGAGTCACTTAGATTTTACAAATACGTGTGCTGGGCTGTGAACGGCTCACGTATTTGTAAAATCTAAGTGACTCGTACAACATGGAATTCATATAAAACGGAATAATCAACAGTGTTATAGGGGGGTCGACTTGTACAATTATTATAGAGCATAATGATAAAGATACTGTAAGATCTCTTTTTATGCGGATTATTTTTATGCGATTTTGAAGTTGTGCGGTTTGTATTTCATGCAAAAATTTCTTGGACAAACATACATATAGGCTTGTTTAGGAAGCCCGCGTATAGACAGTCTCCAAAAATCGTGGAACGCTCAAAGCTCACTCCATTTGTTCCACTGACATATAACGTTTATGGATGTAAAGGACAGCTAGATCTACCTTAATCGCTTTAGTTCCTAGCAATTTTTGATATAAATGTAATTAAACATAAAAAATACTTAAAACTGAAAAAAAAGAAAGAAATGCGTTAATTTTGAAGAAAAAGCTTCAAAGTTTAACTTCCTTTGTCTCGCCCTTCTGTGAAATTTAACACCGATGAGTCATTGTTTACACATCTGGATGACCTTGAACACAGCTGGAGTTGGATTTCCCGGGGCATTCTCATAGACGTCGCGGGAGGACAAGGGTTTAAAGTAGGGTGAACACTAGCTGGCCGTATATTTTTAAATATTTTTAAAAAATTTGGAGACTTAAAAAACATTCCAAAAATTCAAAAAAAAAATTTAAAAATGGCCTTAAGGATCGTGTTTTATGTAACACTATGTAACCTGCCCGAGTTAACTCGGGCGAGGAACTAAAGGGGTTTTAATTAACTCTTCACATCCAGATGTCAGTGATTTGTTTTTAGAGTGAGCTTTTGCAATTCGGGGATTCCCCTTGTATTACTTTTCAATAAAATAAACTGAATTAAGTTTGAATACAAGTTTATTTTAAGCTTTTATATGAATTTCTTTCAGACATTCGAAGTAATTTATTAAGCGGCCCATTTCTTTTAATTTCTGCAAACTTTTTTTATGCGCATTTTTTATATGCGCTTTTCTGTAGAACGTATCCACCGCATAAAACGAGACCTTACAGTATATAACTTTAGGCCTATATTTATTATTTTATACTCTACATTATTTATTTATGGCTATATTATTTTATATAGAAAATTTTAATATTAAAAATATAATAAAGTCATCGAACATATATGATATACAGTAGACTATATATTAGGCTACTTTAATAATAATACAAGCCTATTAATTTTCTTTTCTTTTTCATGTTTGTAAAAAAACCACCACAGAACACTGGTAATGATCCTCGCCTAATGGGCTGACCATATGAAGTTTTCCGGGTTTTCATCACGTTTGTAACACCTAATGCCGAGCTGCAATTTTTAATTTATTTCATTTAAAATATATGATCTCCACCTCAGTGGCGTACCGTGGGTGTCAGCCGCCCGGGGCGGAGGAAAATTTCGTCCCCCTTATTTAGGTATTTCAATTTAAAAGACTAAAATTCAGTTTTGTCACAGAACAAGCAATGAAAAATTCCATGCTATTGCAGCGACCTGTTTAAAATAGCTCTAATCCAGCGTTTCTCAAAGTGGGCGATAACGCCCCCTTGTGGGCGCTGGAGGCTTTCAGGGGGGCAGTAGAAGGCTCAAAGAGAATTGGGGGGCGTTAAGGAAATATAGAGGGGCGACGGCAGACAAATTCTATATATAAAAATTCGACGGAATATATATAAAATGTTGACATTTTATATATTTTTTATTTTTTATTGAAGGTCACAACTTGAATATTTCTAACACATTGACTTTTATTTTAGCTCAGCGTTTCTCAAAGTAAGCAATAACGCCCCCTTCTGGCGCGATGAATAGATCTATGATAGAGGCAGGGTATTGAACGGTGACCAAAGGCAAAATTGGGGCTGATAAGAGGAAACATTGCGTTTAATGGTTTCCAGATGATGAGAACAATTTACAGTAAGGGCACAAAGTGTGAGATTCATAGAAAAGTTTTCATAAGAATATTTCCAATCCTTTTCTCACACAAGAGAAAATGGGTTAGGGGGCATTGGGTATAACTTTATGGAACAAAGGGGGCGGTGGATCGAAAAAGTTTGAGAATCACTGCTCTAATCGATATTAGTGGTGTATATGTACGCGAATGAATCGTACAAGCAAAAAAAGAAAAAAGGTCAACAGGCTACGCAATTTCCTCGGATGAAAAAATTACTACTTCACCCGGACGGCGAGCACTATCGTAGGCGCGACACAAATGAAGATTAGGATGATTCAAATTTTTACAAGATATTATTATTATTTATTGTGAAATTTTGCCGCCCCCTAAAAAGTGCCGCCCGGGGCGGGCCGCCCCTGCCGCCCCCACTACGGTACGCCACTGCTCCACCTCAAATTAGTACTGTTGGCCCTGTACATTACACAGTACTTTTAAGTTAGCAACAGAGTCGTGCCGAGGCATCTATTCAGGGGAAAAGTTTCGAATTGAAATAACGTGACTTCTGATTTATATCGGAAGTTAATATAGTCTATAGTTAATTGGCGCTTCTTTCATCTAAGGTTTCCACATGCGGTTTCGGGTTTTATCTATTTAACTCTGTTCTCGAGATTAAGGAAAGACAGACGGACGAAAATGGGAATTTATAGACATACAATTTTATCAAATTGTAGCCCAAAAATACTGGGAACTCCTGATATCAACTGTCTTATCAGCGACTGTTTTAGATATAAGGAAACTTTTAACTCTTAGCTTTTATTTGGGTCCTCATGTTTATACAGGGCGATGCAGAAATAAAAGTGTAGTGACATTAAATTTTATCTTCTATTAAGAAACGCAATGGAATGAATAATTTGTAAGAAATGATTTTGAGGTTTTCGTTAATTAAGGCTCAGGCCAAAAGCCCTCAATAGTCTGTACTTGTAGGATATGAAAATATGACAAGGATCTGATATTATATAAACTTAAAAAGAATTTGCAATAACATGCTTGTCTAGGGCCTTGTTTAGGGTAGGCCTATAGCCTAAAACCGTCATTGCATCTTATTAAAATGAGACTGTAGATTACTGAAGAAGTGTAGATTAACAATTTGTATACTTTATATCTATTATTATTAATAAAACTGCTGAATAATTAATAAATAAACATAAAATAAAATTAATAAAATAAATAAGTATAAAAAATTTATTTTATTATAGTCTTTTGTTCTTAATTAACTAATTATGAGTCTACAAAAGACCCCTATTTTTTTTATTCGCTAGAGAGAGGAGCCTCTTATATGCTATAGCCACAGCAAGTCTATGCCCAATTTCAAGTAAAAGATTAAATCATGAGTTCTTGAAATTTAGAATAAGATTCATAAAATTAACCTGTGATAATTCTACTTTAATAAATGTTATATTATCTAATTAAATTTACATCTGTTAGAAACATATGTGTTATTTTAATTTTGACAATGTTAAAACTTTCAGAATTTTGGATAATTGCAAATTATATAATGTTTGAACTGTAGTAATATATACAGTATGTCCTACTCTTAAAAATTTCTTAATAAAGCCAATTACATTATTCCTAAAACAATTCGTATTGCCAAATTATAAAAAGTGTTATTTATTTCCTGAACATTTATGAAAAAATAGTTCTATAAAGTTAATTTCATTAATACTTCCTCTTATTAATACAGGATATTCATAAAAAATGGTGGGATTTCACAGATATGTATTTTCCATATTTATCTTAGTCATGACATCTCAATCAGAAATGCAACTATCCAAGTGTGATGTGTGTGCACATAGAGAGAGTTAAAGTTCCTCTATGTGCACATCTTGGTCACTCACACACATCCAAGTGAAAATCAAACTTCTTTTAATTTGATTGAGCAGATCTGGTGATACTTCCTCAGACATCATAGCATTGGAGTAATAAACTGTGCTTTTCACCTCCACAGGAAGAATTTACATGGAGTTTAGTCCAGGAACTGGGATGGTCACTGTAAGGAGGTTATTGTCCATATTTGCAGTACGCCAAGCAAGTAAGGTGTGTTTCAAATTTATATGGACACGAAAAAATTAAAGTGAAATCCAAATTTGCTGCATTAAGTGACAAATGTTTTATTAAAAATAACATGGATTTACATGTTTCCACATTGCAAAATAAGAATTTTAATCAAACATTAACATTTTGTCACTGAAAATAATGTTTATGAAACTCTTATACAAAAAAACTGTTACATATTTATCCGGACAGGCACTCATTTTATGACTTAAACAGAATATTGTTTAGTTTCAAGCATTGAAATATGCAAATTAGCTTACATATCTAATTGTAATACAAATTCTTTACGTTGTTCAACGTTCTAAAATGGGTAGAACAAAGAATTTATCTGATTATGAAAAAGGGCAGATTGATGCCTATAAATCACAAGGCAAGTCAATAAGAGAAATTGCAGCATATATAAATCGTCCAAAATCAACTGTTGGTGATTATTTATCAAAAAGACGTGGCAAGGATGTACCAAAATTCAAGACAGGTCCAAAACCCAAGCTTACTCCTCGAGATTGTAGACAAATCATCAAGGTTTGCTCCACAAAACAAACATCAGTAAGAAAAATAAAACAAGAATTAGACTTGCCTTGTAGCAGCACAACAGTGTGGAGAGTTTTAAATAAATCTCCAATGTTAAAATTCAGAAAAAAAGCTGTAATGCCACCACTTTCATTAAAGCACAAAAGTGACAGACTTGATTGGGCACAAAAACACATGACATGGTCCGAAGAATGGATTGAAGTTTTGTTCAGTGATGAAAAAAAATTCAACTTAGATGGTCCAGACGGTTGGAAGTATTATTGGCACGATTTAAGAACCGAAAAACAAATATTTTCAAAACGCCAAATGGGTGGGGGATCAATAATGGTGTGGGGTGCGTTTGGATTCAACGGAACCACAGATTTAGCATTTATAACTCAAAGAATGAATTCAAAGAAGTATCAAGGCATGCTTGAAGATCATTTATTGGAAGCTGGACCAAATATTTGTGGACCAAATTGGATCTTTCAACAAGACAATGCCCCTGTGCATGCCTCTAAATCAACAAAAATGTGGTTTAAACGTAAAAATATTAATCTGATGACATGGCCTGCTAGAAGCCCTGACCTGAATCCGATGGAAAATCTTTGGGGGATGATGGTTCGTACAGTTTATGCCAATGGAAAGCAGTTTTCCACAATTCATGATTTGAAGGCAGCAATTTCAGATGCTTGGGATAAACTTAAGATTGAATTCCTTCAGAATCTAATTGAAACAATGCCTAATCGAGTATTTAATGTAATTAAGTTAAATGGTGGTTACATTGGCCATTAAATTGTAAGAAAACTTTGCAATTTGAAACCTGTCCGGATAAATATGTAACAGTTTTTTTGTACAAAATTTTCAAAAATATTATTTTCAGTGACAAAATGTTAATGTTTGATTAAAATTCTTATTTTGCAGTGTGGAAACATGTAAATCCATGTTATTTTTAATAAAACATTTGTCACTTAATGCAGCAAATTTGTGTTTCACTTTAATTTTTTCGTGTCCGTATAAATTTGAAACACACCTTATAAAGAGAAACAGTAATGACTACTGTAAGGACCAGGCCCCATACAAGCTTTAATCAGCCATGGTTAGCACTAATAAATTTAAATGTTTAAAAATTTTCTATATGCTTTCGCCGTCATGAATATTTTGTGATTTAAATAAAAGAAGCTGAACAAGATTGGTGTACACAATCTTTAATATATAGTTACAGAATAAAAATTATTTGTTTATCTTTCTTTGTTATCCTAATGTGTGTTCCATTGAAAATTAATTTTAAGAAAATATTTTAAGATTGATAAAAATGTTATAACTTTCAAGATGGTATTATGATAGTGAAAAGTTACAAGATGATTTCAAGATATTAAAAGAAAGCAGAATTCCATCTTTCCCATTTAAGCACTAAGCAGAAATGTTTTTTGAAAAAAAAATATATATATGTATATACAAAGAAAACACTTCTATAAAGATCATGATTATTTATTACTGAATAACAAAATAATTAAAAAGCATTTCCAAAATAGAACATCACTCCATATATAAATTTAAAAAATTTATTATGTTAAAAACATTTATAACAGAAAATAGTGAATTATTGTTTTATAATATTCTATTTTGTGAAATACATTAATTTTGTAGAATAAAATCAAATTTCTATAATTACATGTCCATAAGTCTTATAAGAGAGTTTCACTTTGGAATCCACATACTTTAATTTGCAATTAAACACTTCTATTAAGAACTAATTATTAGATTTTGTTTAACTGCATTTATTCAAGTTTAAAACAACATGCATTTTCTTTTAATTTCATTCCTTCGCCATTCAGGTAAGCGATAGAATTGTAAGCGAGTCATATTAAAAAGTGAATGAAATTCGTCGTTAGATAAGTGACGCTGAAAATAAAAAGTAAAAAAATAATTTAATGATGATAATGAAATTAGTTCCTTTCTAAAAATAAACACTTAAAATTAAGATTTTTGTGTAAAATAATTACCTCTAAATGACATCTATCAACATCAGGAGGAAGCCTATAGTTAGTTGTAATTAATAGATGGTATGGATAAAGCTGAAAAATTGAAATTATTTGTTATTAGTATAATGAAGTTGCATATAAATAAATACATATGACTCCAAGTAAGATTTAAATGTTGGCATTCTTTATTGCTATACTTATTACATGGTGTAATAAGTCTAGCAATAAAGAAGGAACATAGTGCTTACAAATACAGTGGGTGATCAGTTAACGAACATAATCTGTTCCAAGACTTTGTTTGTTAACCAATTATTGATTTACCATAGGTTTCTATGGGAATTTGATTAATTCGTTCCGGAGACCCCCAAAAAATAAAAAAATATATACTTTCTTAGTATATTTATTCATATGTAATAATAAAAATACATATATACACGGTCTTGCATTTTTATTAGTCATGTTTTTTCCGTTTGTGGGGTTAAAGAATCTGTTCAAAGTCGATTGCTTTTCTGTCTGCTTCATGAATTTTCAGAAGTAATTAATAGCATTGTAATTGTAGAGATCTGAAGGCCTATTAACCTCAACTTGGTTTGGATGACATTTTAAGACTGTTGTTCTGACATCTTCCCACTTCTTCAAAAGATCTTTAATAGCAGATATTGGCATAAATCTGCATTTTTAGAAGAAAACGTAAAAGAATTGTTTCTGTCAGAAATACAAAAGGCTGGAATTACAAGGGAGAGTTTCAAAGTTCGGGGGAATACTATCTGATCAGTATATAATGGGTAGAATGTCGATGTCGACGTCTCCCGTACTCCAGAAAGTTTCGAATTGTTGTCTGAAGACAAAGGAAGACCAATCGGTATTCGTTATTTTACGTCGCTTCTTGTGTTTGTTTAGTGAAGTGTTTGTTATCTGAACATGTGTTCGTTGTCCAATCATAAAAATCTTTTGCGAAAGTGTTCATTATCCGATTTGTTCGTTAACTGATCACCCACTGTATATACAAAGACTAGACAAGAAGCGCATCATAGTAATTAAAAGTTTGTTTTTTTAATATGTTTATTTTGTATTATTTTGAATTTAATCCTTGTTTGTATATAAATATTTGTCAAACCTTTCTGAATAAACATTTTTTTTACTTATTATATCTCATTGTACATAGGCTGTTATTTCTCCAACCTCTGATGGTCCATAAAAAAAGACAAGTGTAAATAAAAAAAATGAATTTATTACCAAAAGTTAGGTACAAACATAGTTACTTTTTGACATAATCACCATGAAGATTGAAGCATTTGTCTATCTGTGGATGAGCTTTGAAACCCCGCTTCATAGAATGTTGCTGCCAGTAATTGAGATGGCCTTAACAATGTTGTTTTAAAGATTGTCATTAGTCTCAAACCTCTGCCCTGCTAGCCAAGTTTTCAGTTCAGGAAAGAGGGGGAAGTCTTCACAAATTAAAAAGTTTTAAGCTGGGTGGAAGCTGAAAGGTAGAAGTTTTCACCACCTTTAAACACCTAATGTATAGCCCTGATTTAGCACCAAGTGACTTCAACCTCTTTCTTGAACAGAAAAAGTGGCTAGAAGGGCAGAGGTTCACGACTAATGACAATCTTTAAAACAACGTTAGTAACCATCTCAAGTCATTGGTAGTAATATTCATTCTATGACAAGGGGATGGAAAAGCTCGTCCATAGAAATGGCAAATGCCTCAATCTTCACAGTGATTATGTCAAAAAGTAACCATATTTGTACATAACTTTTGGTAATAAATTCATTTTGCTATTTATACTTGTCTTTTTGTTATGGACCATTAGAGCTTGAAAAAATAGCCTAGGTTTACCTGCCTTGAATAAGTGCTGGGATTTTGACCTGTGTAAATGAATAAGTTCCAGGGCACTAATTTGTATCACAAATTAAAATAAAAAGTTTAAGAAAGTTTGGAAATTTTTATATTATCAATATTATATGCATTTTATTTCAGAACTAAAATACAACACTGATGAAAATGTGTTTCCAGAAAAAAGTTTCTGTTTTAGGAAAATTCTTGACATAAGAATAATACTAGGTTTCAGACACTATCAATATTGGTAAATTACTGATGGAAATTCTAAATTAGTTTTTCTTTAGTGGAAGGGACTGAGGGGGGTTTTGGACACCATTTTCTGTTACACATACTCTTTTTACATAATATAATAGTTAATAATAATGAGCAATTATTTATTGAGACACTGTCATAATGCTGGACAGTAATTTTTAATCATATTTTTAATTTATTTAATTTAAAATATATGATCTCCACCTAAAATTAGTAGTGTCTTGCCTCTGTACATCATTCCTAGCAATTGAATCATGCCAGTCATCTATCTTTCAAGAGAAAATTTTGAATTGAAATAACATGACTTCATTGGAAGTTTGTATATAGTTAAATTTAATTAATCAGGCCTCCTGCCTCTAAGCTTTCCATATCTGCTTTCAACTTTCATCTATCTAATTGTGTTATTGAGATTAAGAAAAGACAGACACACAGACGGATGACAGTGGGAATTTATAGCTCTGCAATTTTTTAAAAAATTGTAAACCTATAAATACACAGATTTAATTGACACACTCACTAATTTATTTTAAGAAACACTCACTAAACTACAGATTTAGAGCACACACAGATACCATGATTATCCAGAATACACATATCAAAATGAATGGGGAAAACTCTACATTACCTAAATACACATATTACCAAAACACATTCAACCAAAATCAATACTTTCAGACATACATATGTTAGTTTACTCTAGTGCAGTAAAATAAAATATAATCATAAAGAGACACATTAAAACACAGACAAATTATAAGCCTGATTAGCAAAGAAGACTAGAAACACAAACATTAGACAACAATTAGGCAGACTGACATAAGAACACCAAACTTAATGAAAAATGTTGGGAAAAATATTCAGGAAATTAAAACACAACACAATATGCATGTACAGGAATATACTGACATTCTCAAACAAAAATTAGCAGCCAAGTTGCAAAGATTATAATGATACAAGTCTGTATTCTATGAAAATAATGAAATAAATTGTTAATAAACAATGAGGAACTTTTCTACTGATATCTATATACCAAACCCACCACACAATTACATGCCAACAGAAAAACAACTCTCAGATTATGGGAGCTCTTTGATCTTTCTGATTCAAAAAATTTACATCTCTGTACCAGGAACTTGCCAAATCTTTTACACACCCACATGCACACAATCAACAATCAATCTTACAGAGCAACAAAACAGCTACGGTAGAGATCATATGGGATGTAAAGAACAGTTATTCATAAATTCAGTCATTATACAAAAAGTACACAAACAATACAGGTAAATGAATAAGTGCCCAGGTGCAAATTCAAAGAAATATAGTATATCACTTAGTATTAAATAGTAAATACAGTAACAAATATGATATAAGAAATATAAGAATATTTCCAATTTAAGATCTGGTTATTGAAATGAAATGCTATTGTAAATTGAGGAACATCTGTACTTTAAAACTTACTTATGACTTTAAATTGTTCTATTTAATGTTAAAGATGAAAATTTATTAAATGCAATCATAATTTTAATTAGTCCCACAACTTTTAAGCATCATCTAGTTACTTGAATAAAAAATAATGAAATTCTTTCTACAAAAATTTAACAATATAAAATAAAATAATTTAAACTAACCTTTGGAGGTTCACTTGATAAATGCAGATTTACATTAGGCATAGATCTACGCAGATGAGGACTATAAGAAGAATATCTCATGCCTCTATAACCTTCTGAATATGGTGTGCTTCGAAAAATTCCACTAGAACTGTGACTCTAAAACAAAAAAATTAAAATTTCTTTCATTAAACAAAACATAAAGGATAAATAAAATGATTTAAATATTATTCTTACAAGAACTCCTTGTTCTGATATTGAGGAAACTGCAAAAAAAACAAAGATTTATTAAAAAGAAAATTAAAGTTTAAAAAAATGAATAATTTAAAAAACTAACTATCTGATCTTCCACTTCCAAATTCAGAACTATGAGTCTTTTCAAATTTTCCACACCCCAACTCACTAGACTAAATATAAAAAAGTTTAAAATTAATTAATTAATAATTTATATAATTATTCTATTAATATCAACTATTACTATGGATTCATTTCTTAAACTGAATTATAACTAGATCTCACAAATGCTAAAGGTTAAGGTTTATGAAGTAACTAAATTTTAGAGACTTCTTAAATTAAAATAAAACAAATATTAAATGCCCAAAATAAATCTAAGCTTAAATCAATAAAAAATATTTTAAAATAAATTTTCTGTTTTTTGTTTTTTACATTTACAGGGTGTTTGGAAATCACTGTGCACTTTTCTAATCATATTTTCACATTATTTCAAAAGACAAGTGGTCCCACGCTCACCAGATCTAAATTCACTAGACTTATATATGGGGAGAAGCAAAATCTGCAGTGTATTGAGATTGTCCGTGCACACTGGATGATTTGAAAGCAGCAATAATAGCATTCATTCAGTCTTTCAAGTGAGCAACTGATAGCAATGTTTAGAAACAAAATAAGAAGGATCCAAGCCTGTATTGATGCTAACGGGGGTCACTTTCAACATTGTTTATAATTGACATTCATATTCCATATTGAAACAGGTTGGTTAATAAATATATAAGTGCACAGAAACTTTCCAAATACCCTGTATAATATAAAATGAATTCATTGATGACTATGAACATTAAAATATTCTGGTAGAGCTAGCAGACATCTCTAATTCTCCAGACTACTCTGAGTGATCCCAAATGATTAAAAAGTATTTTGGTAAAAAAGTAAGTTGACTAAAAATTAATCAAAACAATGTATATCAAAAAATGACATCTCTAATTCACAACTTGGATAACTAGATTGGTCAAGACAATAAATGCTCATACATCAGACTGTTAATCTGATACCCTCAAATCAGCTTTGAAATTTTCATGAGTGACATGACCTGGATGTGGTATGCTATGTCTTACAATATTTATTCTCTTGGTTAAATAGTCATATTTTATATCATTACATGTGAAAAAGTCTTGTTTTTAATTATTTCTGTCATAAGGCACAAGTCACAAGTACTGATGAACAGACATAAGTATTTTAGGATTTTATTCTTTTATAGCTACTATTTTTTGGCTATTTAATCGGACTTATTGTGGTGTGATAAGTCTGATTAAATAGCCAAAAAAAAGTAGCTATAAAAGAATAAAATCCTATGGAAAAAAGGACTAGAAGCTTTATGAATAAAGATACAAGCATGTTTAACTTAATGTGAAATCAAAATATATTTAAGTTTAATTATAAGATTAAATATTAAAGATTTGATATTATATATTGTTTGAGTCACTTTTTCTGTATTAAATAATACTTATAAAAGACGTAATATTTTGTAAATATTGAAAATTGAATAAAATTATTGATGATAAATAAATAAACAGTTAATCCTCAATTTATCCCCACCATCTGTTCAATTCTGAAATTGGTACTAAATTGAACCACTTCAATGATAAGAATTATATATAATGAGGTATACACATATTTGAGTTTTATACTTTGTTGTTACCAAATCATGTAACTTTTGAAAAGGAAACACACTTTTTGATTTCCATCAGTGGTTTAATACCATAAAATTGATTTCCAGCAGTAGTTTATTATTATTTATGGTATTACTGCTGGAGATCAAAAGATGTGCTTTCTTATATAATTGTTTTACATCCAGTTTGCCTTGAGAATATTTTAACGTGTGACTTTCAATATCATTTATAATGCAAAATCATGCATTATAAATGATAATTACAGCTACTGAAAGGTTTTCTATTTATTGGGTGTTTGCTGATCAGGTGAGTTAGGAAAAGTCAATTTTTTCCAAATAAGTAGCAAAATTTCCATCATTTCAAAAACTTGTAGACAATATAATAAATTGTCAGGTATAGTAGTCACAACACATATGCAAGAATTATAATTACTGGATGTGCTCTATGAATGTTTTGAGACAGCTATTGGAAAATACTGCTTTGGCTAAAATCTGAGTAAGGAATCATTATTAGCAAGTATGTTTGTGTATGATACTACATTGTATTCACAGGGTAAATCATTCCTACAAATACAATGGTGCTACAGCTGGATGCCTGTCAAGGAGTATCAAAGAGCATGAGTATACTATCAGGAATAGTCATGACAAACAAACATGGTGCTTGCTACCTTTGCAATTGGTAATGAGGATCAAGTCAAATTCAACAAAGCATGCCTTTTACATGCTGCCAACTCATCCTGTCTGAAGTACTTTGAATATGTAGAAATTTACAAGACCTCTAAGAAATGTATAGAATAGACATTATAAAGAGATGGATTCTCTTTCTTCAGCTTGATGGGCACTTTATGAGATCACATAGTGTTCTTTATTAATAATTTTTATTTTTGTAAATTATTATATATTGTAATTTTTAATCATTTTATATTGGAAATAACTTATTCCATTTTTGCAGCTACTGAATTATACAAAGATAAAAACTTCCAGTAGTTGGAACTGGAAGTTTTTTATCTTTGTATATTCTAATTTTTAAAACAAGTGTTCTATTCTGATTCCATATATTTTACCTGAAAATGTCTACTTGAAAACGGAGGAAAACATTTGTTTTCATTAAATTTGTTGAAGTTTTTTGCTGGTTCTTGATGTGATAAAGAATTTATTTCTATCAGTTTAATAAAAATGTAAGTCTATTGATACTCTCTCTTAAAGAATAATCAAAAATAGCTTCTTATGATGAACAAGCAATTATTTATTGTGACATCATCACAATGCCAGGCTCTCCACCTCAAATTAGTAGTGGCTTGCCCCTGTACATCATACTTTTCCTTTCACAATAGAGTTATGCTGGTCATCTTTGAATTGAAATAACATGACTTCCAGTTTGCATAAGAAGTTCGTATATAATTAATAGGGCCTCCTGCTCCTAAGGTTTCCATATCTGGTCTCATCTTTCATCTATCTAATATTGTTCTTGAGATTAAGGAAAAGACAGACAGACAGACAGATAGAGGGATAGACAGACAACAATGGGAATTTATAGGTTACAGTTTGAAAAATTGCAGCCCAAAAAGCCATTTTTAAGAACTATAAAAGCACTTTTATCAGATATAACTATCAATGAGTTATGCATAAAATGACTTTGAAAATATCTTGTCAGGAGAAAACTAGGATTTTATCTAAAATACAAAGTCTAGTTATAACATCAAATTCTTCTATAAAGCTGGTGAAAACTCCAACTGAATCAAGTGAAATGTTATAGGCAGCTTATGAAGATCAAGCTCTATCTCATGCATAAATATTTGTTTAAGTAATTTTAAGATATCATTAAATGATTGAGAATGACTTTTAACTGAAAATCAGTGGAAAAATGCATAATATACTTGAATATGGCTAGTAATTAATCTTAGAATGATTGCAAGTGAATTAAATATGAATAAAAATCTATAATTATCAAACAATATGATGCATGAACTAAATGCTATTAATTAAGACAAATTTTCAAAAAGATTTTAAAAATTCTAATATTCTAAGTAATGTATTAAATCTGTAAAGAATTATTTTAATAAATAAATAAATATGTCACTAATAGGAACATACAGGAATAAGTGTAAGTACTTTATTGCCACACTGTGTAAATTACATATATAGCCTACATATATTATTCTTGATAAAATTTTTGCATTATTTTTAATATGTCTTTCTTTTAATGACAGTTGTTATCAATTATTTCTTTTTTTATAAGTAAAATTATCAAAAGACATTTTCTTGTTTCTCTTTTATATCCAACAAGAACGTTTGAAACAGAGAAAAACACATACAAATTTAAATAAAACGAATTTTTGGCTGACATTCAATATGAATCCTCTACATTTTTGAAATATGTACAATGATGTAATACAGACATGTAGTGTATGTGATGTAATACAGACATGGAGGAAATGCCCTATACTTAAGTGAAATGCACTTAGATACAACATTATGTCTACAACATTATGTGTTCTGCATAGTTGGGCATGTTTCTTTTAAAGTGCAGAGCACATAATGTTGTACCTAAGTGCATTTCACTTAAGTATAGGGCATTTCCTCCATATCTGTATATTCGTATCATTGTATGTATTTCAAAAACGTAGCAGATTCATATCGAATGGCATCCAAAAAATCATTTTATTTAAATTTGTATGTGTTCTTCTCTGTCTCGAACATTAATGTTCGATATAAAAATATTTTATTTGCCTGAAGATGACGGAAATACATTCATCGAAAGCACTCGAATGAAAAACGCTTAATAACGCTGCACACAGTGAGCTTTACTTCTTGTTTCTCTGTTAATGTCTCAACCATTATAATATATATATTTCAAAAATCTTAATACAAAATATGTTTGATATTTTAATTTCTATGATTATATTAAGCTTTTGAATTCAAAAAATGATCTTACTGTAAATCCTAGACTGCTATCTCTTCCTAAACTAGATTTTATTGCTAATCCATAACCAGGTTTAGGAATAGCACGTAAAGATGATACCACTAAATAAAAAACAATAAAAAATAAAATTAATTTATAATAATAACATAAAATGTACACACTATGTATTATTTAAAACATTAATACCTGTGAATTTAAAATAACTTTTAACAAGCATTAACAGACTAAATTTAATGTTTTGAGTTACAAAATTAAATTTATATTAATTTAATAAACTTTAATACAAATTAATACTAACACTACCTAAACAATCATTGAATTCAATGCTAGGTTAAATATTAGTTTAACAAAATGAACATTACCCATCATGAAAGGATTTACAGATAAAAAAAAAACAACGCGATAGATTGAAACAAAGTGACTTTTCAGTTTCAACCTGGATTACATAGCCATATTAAATTTTTGAAGCATTTACAATTGTACAAATAATTCCAATGAACCAAAATGTAATGATATTTCATCAATTTCCTCTGAATCAAAAGAACACATTAACTAATTGGCTCATAAAAAATACCAGTTAATTTACATCACAGAATTTGTTCTGCTTATTTTGAAGACTCATACAATATTTCAAAATTACAAATTCATAAAAAGAAAGTTATTAAAAAGTGATGGAATTTCAACAAAATTTATATTTTCTAAAGGAAAATGCAAAGAAAAGTCCTTCCTGAACTGAAATATTTTAAAAATCTTCTAATCCGAATACCGGTATTCTTATAAAAATCGTACTTACTCAACCTTTATTGTCCGGTACTTATTGTACGGTATTGAACTGAAATAGATATATATATATATTTATATATATGTATTAAAATATTGAAAAATTCTGATGATGATTATTGTTTTTAATCAATAATATAAGCTTGAATTAAGATTTTATTAACTTCAAAATTAATTACAATTTTGATTTTTAACTGTCATTACATTAATTTAAACATATATATATATAGGATCTTTGTTATTATAGTTGTAATTAGTATTTTCATTTACACAGACCTAAATGAAAGGAACAATAGTAATGAGCAATTATTTGTTGTGACATTATCACAATGCTGGGCTGCAATTTTTAATCATATTTTTAATTTATTTAATTTAAAATATACGCTCTCCATATCAAATTATTAGTGGCTTGCCCCTGTACATCACACTTTTCCTGTTAGCAATAGAGTCATGATGGTCATCTATCTAACACCTTTCAGGAAAAAATTTTCAAATTGAAATAACATGAATTCCAGTTTGCACTGGACATTCTTGTATAGTTAATTGGGCTCCTGCCCCTAAGATTTCCCTATCTGGTCTTGGATTTTATATATCTAACTCTGTTCTTGAGATTATGGAAAGACAGACAAATGACAGTGAGAAGGTATAGCCCAATGAATATTATTTTATTCAGTATATAGTAGAATCTTGTTTTAATGGATTGTAAAACAATGGATTTTTTCCCCAAGTACCACTAAATCAATGTAATTTTTTACCTCCTTTTATCAGATCTGTAATTCAGAATAACAGGTTTTTTTTTCTAGCCCTGTCCATTGTAATGTCACATTTTTTTGACATTTAGCTAATATTTGATTATTTCTGGGAATTTTTAGAGTTCAATGATGCACTTGTTACATCTTGGATACATACAATTCTCCAATTGTACAAAGAGAGTCAGGTTGATATAATTGAGAGGAGACACCTGGCAAACATTGCTGCTGGTCCAAGAGTAATACTGAAATTTAGTGAGGACTTAAAGTAATTCCAAGTCATAAAGATCTTCCTTAAAAGTTTCAGCATAAATGAACAGGCTGTACATGACATTGCTAATATCAAGTGGTTGTTGTAGGATATTCAATAGGCAGAAAAATAGCATCAAACCAAACCAAGATGGATAAGTTTTTAAACAAATTGTAAAGTCAAGTAAAGTGCTAATGAGCATATGTAATTTTCCTCTTTTTGTGTTTACAGTATATACAGTTTTTGTCAGCTTTATCATATACAATTACAGCATAATACAGTGGGTGATCGATTAATGAACATAATCTGTTCCAAAACTTTGTTCGCTATCCGAATTGTTCGTTAACCGGTTATCGATTTACCATAGGTTTCTATGGGAATTTGATTAATTCGTTCTGGAGATCCCCCAAAAAATAAAAAAAATATACTTTTTTACTACATTTATTCATATGTAATAATAAAAATACATATATGCACAGTCTTGCATTTTTATTAGTCATGTTTTTTTCCATTTGTGAGGTTAAAGAATCTGTCCAATGTCGATTGCTTTTCTGTCTTCTTCATGATTTTTCAGAAGTAATTAATAGCATTGTAATTGTAGAGATCCCTAGGCCTATTAACTCAACCTGGTTTGGATGACATTTTAAGACTGTTGTTCTCACATCCTCCCATTTCTTCAAAAGATCTTTAATAGCAGATATCAGCATAAATCTGCATTTTTAGAAGAAAACATAAAAGAATTGTTTCTGTCAGAAATACAAAAGGCTGGAATTACAAGGGAGAGTTTCAAAGTTCGGGGGAATACTATTCGATCAGTATATACCAGGTAGAACATCAATGTCGATGTCTCCTGCGCTCCGAAAAGTTTTGAATTGTTGCCCGAAGACAAAGGAAGACCAATCGGTATTTGTTATTTTACGTGTTTGTTCAGTGTTTGTCTTGTGTTTGTTCAGTGAAGTATTCATTATCCGAACATGTGTTCATTGTCTAATCATAAAAATCTTTCGCAAAAGTGTTCGTTATCCAATTTGTTTGTTAACCGATCACCCACTGTATATAATTTTGTAACATGAAATGTTTCTAAAGAATAAAGAAGAGATCTGAAATGACTGAATAATTTCAAATACTGGTATTTCTTATACGTTGGGGGTTAAAAAACAGAAATTTTCCTGGGTGTATGGAAAATTCATTGTTTGTAATATAATAAATATTCAGAACAATGGATGATTTTCAGCATCCCAAGCAATCCATTAAAACAAGATTCTACTTATACAGTTCATTACAACTTGATTTTTATATATGGTATTATATTAAATTACAGTATTTACTTGCATATGAGATGATCTTGCATATAGGATGAGGTGTAACTTTAAAGATCAAAATAAAGAAAATTAGATTTATTAATACAATTCTAATTTTATTTCATTTAATCGCAAATAAAATAACAAATGCACATAAATGCACACATTGTTCTGCAAAAATGATTGGCATTTTAAACTTTAAGAAAAAAATCTTGTAAAATCAACAACATAATTTGTTCATGTAAAGCTGGAAAATCAAGAACTTTTTTTGCCAATTCTTAACAGTCGAATCCACTTTCCATCAATTACACTTATGAGTTTCTCTGAATTCTGATTTATGAAAAATCATTGTTTTTACATGGAAATGGATTAAAATTTATATCAAGCTCCTGTGTGATTTTGGAATTTCAATTTAAAAACTTTGCTTTTCCTATTACTATTCATCTTTACTCCTGACAATACCACAAGAACAATTGAAACAACCTGGATAAAATACTTTTGTTTTTAAACACCAGAAGGTGAGAATCCGGTAAAAAAATGCAAATACACGGTTGACAAAAATTATTGCAAAAATGCAAAAAATCCTTTGCTTGTGCTTATAGGACAACCTAGGATTTTGAAGCAACAAAAAATGAATAAAAACCTCATCTTATATGCAAATAAATACAGTATATACACAGAATCTATATTATAGAACTCTATTCAAAAAATATAAATCAGTTTACACTGAAAGTCATTATATATGCTCACATAATTTATAAAATTTTGTTTTCAAATGTAATGAAGAAATATAACTTATATATATATAACTTTTAAATAAATATTTTAAAATAGTTTTTTTTTAATGTGATATATTTTTGCAAATTTGAAAACCTATATAACAAAAACATTTTATAGGACCTTTTTAAATAAAAACTCCAGTAAGTCATCACCTTTAGAAAGACTAACATTTTTGATCCTTCCTCTGGATCTTCATCAGGTCAACAGCTTTTAGAATCAGAATGCTTTGCCTAGAGAGCTGTACCCACCCACTAGGTTGTTTGGGTATGTTTTTGCTATTTGCCAAGCAAAAATTATGAAACATCGCACAGTACTTGACTGACTTTGCATTTGTAAAAGAATATCTCAACTTTTATACTTTATTATTATTTTTTGGGTAGCTTGTTATGCTACATGAAAAAATTGAAACTAAGTAGCGTATGAGCCATTCAAATAATTTTTTTGATAGGTGAGTGTATTGACTGATTGGTTTATACACAAGGTAATCTATCAATATGATTATAACACTTACGTGTTGTGGCATTACAGGAGTGGAGTCTTGGAGAATGAACTCATCCAACTTTAGAAAATGAACTCGTCCGCTAGTACTTTCAGTAGTGTATAACTACAGTCTTCAGGCAGTCTATTGAATACAACAGATTAAGATTTTCGAACACTAATCCGACGGTTTCATCATAAGACTCCACTCCTGTAATGCCACAACACATAAGTGTTATAATCATATAATAAACGTTGGCGTGAAGTGACATTGTATTATATCATGGGTAATCTACCAATTTTGAACGTAGGGATGGGTTTCATAAAAAAATTGTAAATGCATAAACATACACACAGAAGTTTCTTTTGTATTTCTCAACAGTTCTAGGTCCTGAGTCCAAAAATGTAAAAAATCTTGGAAGGTCATTTTTTGACTGATTGCCATACTTTTCCTCTATATATATAACAGAGCTGGGAAATTAAAAATTAGAGCTAACAGAGAATATGTTTTTTACAAGTACTATATTGTAACTAAAATATTGTAAAAGCAATTTGTGAATACACAAATGTCTCACAAACAATCATGTGGTTGGTCCCAATGGTGTGTATTGGTTGGTCACAATGTGGTTTTCCAATTGCAAATAAGCAAATGTGTAGATACCAAACATGCAAATACAGCATGGATTATAGGAGCATAAATACACCTGTAGTATAAAGTAATAAATATGACAAACAAACCACATTAAAATTTCTAAGATTATTTAACTGTGTTAAATTTTCAGTAATAAAAATAATGGTGCAAGAATATTTATTGAAAAACAAACTAATTTTTAATTACAACATTTAATAATATAAAAAAATTTCATTTATAATAAATTTAAAATATAAGAGAATAATTACTATTGTAATTTGGTATTGTTCCTGCATATCTACCCGTTGATGATCTATACCCAGATCTTTGATCAAAGTCGTCATCCTCCCATGGTTTAGGATGATCAGCATCTCGAGATGGAGCTATATAACAAAAATTTTTATCTTTAATTCAATACATTTTAAGAAATTAAAACAAAAATTAATTCTAATACAGTAGAAGTTCCTTAATCTTGCACCCAATAATACAGTTTGTCTGATAATTTAGAATTGTATGATGTTGATCTGATATGCTAAATACTATACTGAATGTTGTATATGCATATGAAGTGTATATTTTGTGCAATAACATATTAACATTTTTGACGTTTTTTATCAATCTTAACACTATTTGCACCATACCATTTTCAGATTGATTAAAGAGCATGCATGAAGAAATTAAAAGTTAACACTAATGTGTGCTAGTACAAAATATTCAGAAATATCTACAACATTCGGATCACTTATAACTTATCAAATTTTGTAAAAGTACAAAAATATCCAATAATCTGGCACCACTCTGGTCCCACAGATGCCAAATTAACAAACTTCTACTTTATTAGAATCATATTAAAATCATATTTACAAGCATTAACAGGATTATCATATCTCAATTTCATATGTGGTTCTTTATTCGCAGATGGAGTACGTGATGCATTACGTGGATCTAAATGTATCCTTTTCCATGCTCTAATTCTTTCTCTCTCTTTAACAGTTTTCAAAAATACCTGAAAGTAATATTAACATAAGATTGTATATTTTTAATATAATAATTTTAAAAAACTAAATTTGTGCAGAATCAGATATGCTATCTTGAATTATTACAAACAGATCAGCAACAATTTAAGATACTATGTTAGTTTAACTTTTAACATTAATAAAATTTTTATAGATGCACGATATGTTCAGAGCATTTGTTCTTTTATTCAATTGTTGTACTTCTTAAATTTGTCAAGTTAACAAATATTGGACTTTTTGCCAATCTGAAACCGTGTTGTTGTATGTTTTTCTATATTTTAACTGTTCTTTTACAAATTTCATGACGATTTGGACTTGTCCAGAACCTCACATTACTAACACGACCAATACAGGATATTCAAGCTTTTGTGTTTTGATAACAAATCGTTTTTGACATATTTTGTTTCTAGATCTTCATTTCTTATGAAAAATAACTCTCCTGTATGTAAAACATCACCTAAAATAAACAAAATATCTGTGAGCAGCAGAGATATGTCTGATTTGTAAACAATCATTGCAAATGACTGATGTGCAGAGTAGTGAGTCTTCATGCTCCATGAAAAAACGTTTGATTTATGGTGCTTTTTGCTTTTCAGAATTTCAAATAAGAAATTGTTGACCTGTACTTAATATTGATGTCATTTCTTTCATTAATTAACATGTTTATATTTATATAATTTTGTTAATAATTAGCAATGAGAAAATATCGATTTTCTTAAATTCAAATATTAAACAGATCTCAAATAATTAGTGAACTTAATTGTCTTCTGTAACTTATTTAATATTTGTTATTTAATTTGTTTTATTTATTTCAATATACTAATAAATTAATAAAGTAAAATGAAAAGTAAAAAGAAAAACAATTTACTAAATTTTGACTTTTAATTTTAAAGTAGCTCTTTTCTCAACTACAATAGATTAACAAATAATTGTTCTCATTCTCACTTACTGAAGATTTTTATTTAAAAGAAATTGAGAATTCAAAAGCATTTATGATATAGTCTTCTTTTCTTTTCATGAATTTCCAGAAGTACTGAAGAGAGACTGTCTATTGTGTGGTTGTAGCCCTCTGCCTTATACGTGTCATATAGTTTTCTTTTTTGCTTTTTTTTAGCTACTTTTCAGCGGTGGAGAAAAAGGGGTGGCAACTTGGGGAAGGTGTAAGGGAGGTATTTAAGGCCATGAACCGGATAGGGGATTATCCTTCTTACCTCGTGGATGGATAGGGGAGTCAGGGAACACATGGTGCTCCTTCTGCTGTGGACTTGTTTTTTTTGGTGTGTTCCTGAATTAGATTGGATTACAACAAGTGTAACAGCTAGGACTATAGAATTGTAACGGTGAGAATTTTTTTTTATGTGTGAAAAAATTGTATCTGGTGATCCGTCGTTATAATTGTATCTTGTGATCCGTCGTTATAATTGTATCTTGTGAACCGTCGTTATAATTGTATCTTGTGAACCGTCGTTATAATTGTATATTGTGAACCGTCGTTATAATTGTATGAAAATATATGTACTTTGTCATATTTCTATAAACTTATTACAAACTGGTTTCTTTGTCTCTCTCTTCCCCACGTGGTGGACCACCTACACTCACAATTAGTGAGACCAATAAGTCTTACGAGTTTTCCACATCTGGCGTCCGCGACAGGATTTACCACGTGGTCTATAATGGAGACAAAGACGACGGTGAATTCGAGGGACAGCATGCAACTGGAGTCGACAATGAACATGACTGGAAACCACGACTTAGCGGTAGCGACCCCAGTCGTTACGGGATACCTGGGGATGATTCCAACATTCTCAGGTACTTCATCAGATACTGTATCCATCAAGCAGTTTTTCGATATTCTAGAGGAAGTGTCAACGATCGCCGGGTGGACAAGCGGAACCCGCTTAGCCGTAACCAATCACGCTTGAAGGGAGAACCTTTCAGCCTGTTGTTGGACTTACGGGAAGTGTACCGAAACGACTACGACAGAATTAAGACGTCCCTACTAAGTAGCTTCCATAGGCAGAAATCGATTGATGGAGGCACATTGAAGGACTTCATCAACATAAGACAGAAACGTAATGAGTCAGTAGGTGAGTTCAAGGTTAGATTGTGTATATCGTTTGAAAGAATGGTCTGCGCAAACCCACACATGGCCGCGTTAAGAAGTGAGATGTTAAGCAATCAATTCACGCAAGGGATAAACCCCGACTTAAGAATGAAACTGTTAGAGCGCGAACCAAAGTCATTTGATGAGGCGGTCGAGTTGGCCGAGAAGTTGGCAAAAATCGAGCAAGCCTGTGGGCTCAAAGAAGTTCAGGTAGGCGGTGTCATGGTACCTCGTCATATTGAATCAACCCCCGACAAGAGTAACATAGATGGTGCAGAGATCATGGCTCGTTTAGATAAGTTGGAGCAGACTGTATCACAGCTGTCTGATGCCGTTTTGGGATCTACTGGTGGGCAGGGTGAACGCAACCTAACAAAGGCCAAAGTCATACCCGGTCGGGATAGATGTTTCGCCTGCGGAAGTAGGGACCACCTATGTGCCAACTGCCCGAAAAATTTAAACTAGAATGGGACCAACATAGCAGCCAGGATGGTGGTTCCGAAGTAGATATTCAACTGGCAAGTGAACCGGACATGAATAACCACAGCCTCCCGTACATTTCCGGCAAGATCAATGGCCGTGCACTACACTTATTATTAGACACCGGTGCGGAAAAATCGCTCATAAATCGTTGTGAACTGAATCACCTAAAGGGAAGCTTCCTCAATACCAGCACTGCAAATGTACGTGTGAAAGGAGTGTCTGGCGGTGTTATGGAAAGCAATATTGAATTATTGACTAATGTAAGGTTGAACGGTAAGGCATCTCCCGTGAAATTTATCATAGTGGATTCGGAAATCTTGGTGGGTAATCAGGGAATCCTTGGTATGGATTTCCTGCGCGCTTACCCTGAGATGTTAAGTAAAATTGCGTGTCTCATGACAAGAGAGAGCCCTCCGACGGAGAAAAATCTGGCCTTTGCACTTGCTTCCCTTCATGAAGCACCCAAGCCACCTAACCTCACTACGCAAATTGACTTGACCCACCTCCCTCCAGATCAGGCTGTAGGGGTACAAAAGCTCATCCATGACTTCTCTGATATCTTCAGTGAGGCGGTCGAAGAGCTAACAGGTACCACTAAGTATGTCCATGACTTCGAATTGTGCACCAGCACCCCAATATACACTCGGCAATATCGTATCCCGCATACCTTCCTATCGAAATTGAAGGACAAAATCCAGCAGTATTTAGAGGCGGGCATCATTGAACCGTCGCTATCCGAGTGGAACTCCCCTATACACATTATCCCAAAGAGTAGTGGGGAAATTCGCCTTACCTTGGACTTGCGGAAGGTCAACGAGGTCACCAGGGGACAAGATTTCCCCTTGATGAGAATTGATGATATTTTAGCCCAGCTGAAAGGGGGGAAGGTGTTCTCTGTCCTGGACTTAAATTCCGGTTATTTTCAGATACCTGTGGCCCCCCACCTACGGGAGGTGTTTGCCTTTACAACCCCTTGGGGTAAGTATCAATTATGCCGCATGCCCCAAGGGGGGAAGAACTCTGGACGTTACTTCCAGCGTGTGATGAATTCTATACTCTCCAAACATGTGGGAGTAAATTGTTTCGTATTCCAAGATGATGTTGTTTTATTTTCTGAAACTATGCACGAACATGTAGAATTGCTGAGAGACGTACTCGGTCGTATTAGGGAAGCTGAGTTAGTTTTGCGGCCCTCAAAGTGCAAGTTTGCCGTGAACTCTGTCCGGTATCTGGGTCACGTGATTAACGAGAATGGGGTGACGCCAGATCCGGATAATATAAGTGCCTTTTTAAAGATACCGCAACCTAAGACAGTGAAAGAAGCGAGATCCTTCTTGGGAGCCCTAAGCTTCTACCGCCCCTTTATATGAAACTTTGCACACATCGCCCTGCCGCTCACCGAATTAACCAAGAAGGGGCGTCATTTCCAATGGTCAAAGGAATGTGAATATAGTTTCTGTAAGTTAAAAAACACTATCACTACTCCTCCAACACTGAAACACCCAGACTTTTCATCTGTGTTTCACCTGCACACCGATGCATCTGAATTCGCCGTGGGGGCCGCGTTACATCAAGCGTGCGGAAACCAACTCGCACCCGTCGGGTTTTTTAGCAAGAAACTTCACGGTGCCGAACTCAACTATTCAATCGTGGAGAAGGAGTGCCTTGCTTTACTTTTAGCCCTCCGTCATTTCCGGTTTCTGGTCTTAGGCAGACCCATAATCGTTCACTCGGATCATAAACCACTGGTGTTCCTAAAAGACATGAACAATCATAATCGGCATCTCATGCGATGGGCTATTGAATTGACAGAGTACGACATTAAGATGGTGCACATAAAAGGGAGTGACAACAAGGTGGCCGACTTACTTTTGCGCGCTCATAACAACTGCAAAGATCAGCCTGAGGAGGTGAGGGTGAATAGTAATGCGGTGTCACGACGGCCGGATGACGGTGCAAAAAGCCTGAGTGATTTGGTAAAGGCATGTCAAGAAACTGATGACCGCGTTTATTCGACAAAATGTGCGTTATTAAGAAAAGGGGTGACTGGAATCCCCACCCACCCACGCGACTTTAAGGTAAGGAATGGAGTGCTGATAAAGAGACAAGTAAATCGACGGGGAGAGCATGTAAATTGCATTTGTGTGGGTGACGCTGCCCAAATCCCTGTTATACAACACCACCATGAAATAGGGGGGCATATGGGAGTTGAAAAAACAATATGAAAACTTAGAGACACCTACTTTTTCCCCGATATGAGAACTAAAGTCAGGAACTATATAACGTCATGTGGGACATGCCAGCACTTTAACCGAGTCACCCATAAGGCACCAGTCCAGGAAGTGACCCATCCTGATAACCCAATGCAGGTGGTTGCGGTGGACGTGGTTGGCCCGGTGCCCGAGTCCTGAAAAGGAAATCGATATATCATTGTGTTCATTGACATGTTCACTAGATTCGTTGAAGCCATACCGGTACCTGAGATATCATCCAAAACAATAGCCGATTCGTTATTTGAGAACATTGTGTGTCGTTACGGTGATGGGCAGACCCTCATCTCCGACCGAGGCACAAATTTAACCTCAAAACTAATGTCCGACGCATGCATGTTACTTGGCATTGACCGAAAGACAACCACTGCATATAGACCCACATCTAACGGGACTTGTGAAAGGGCCAACAAGACAATTATCGAGATGATTGCAAAAATCTCAAACGGTGACAACGCCAACTGGGATGAGTACATCCCCGCTGCATTATTGGCGTACCGTAATACCATCCACGGATCAACGGGAGAAACCCCAGCCTTCCTAATGTACGGTTTCGATCCAGTGCTCCCGGGTGAATCGAGGGTTGACGACCCAGAAGCAGGTGATGGAGGGATCATGGAATATCGTGAGAGGCTGATGAGCAAACTTAGGGTCTACCGTAAGGCTGCTGACAACTTTGGTACTGGAACAAGAGTCGGAAGTTGAGAAAATTTAAAGTGGGGGACCTGGTGCTGGTGAGAAAACCATCAAAAGCTCAGCATAAAAAGTTTTCCCCGTGGTACTTGGGCCCTTTCCTTGTGGAACGCATAATCAGTGACGTGGTAGTCCAAGTCAAAGGAAAAAAATTGAGGGACAAACAGACCATCCACATTGACCGTTTAAAACCATTCATTGGACCTGCAGACCGTTACACACCACCTAGAAAGAAACGAAAGTCAACCCACTGGACTGAGGGTGATTAGGACTGCGAGGATAATGAGGAGGCCGACCCTCGCCAAACAAGTCAACCAATTCAATCCCACAGTCCTCATGCCGATGATCCACCTCAGACCTTGGAAAAACCGCACGACCCATCGGAAGGTTGTGATCAAGCCCATGCAATGCCGCAAGGGGGTCGTCCCTATAACTTGAGACGGCGACAGGTCGATTATGTCTCACTAAATCGTGGGTACTAAGTGTAATAAAAGGTAACTTGTAGGGGTGTTCCCCTTAATTCCTTTTTCTTTTTGGGGGGGGCATATGTGTGGTTGTAGCCCTCTGCCTTATACGTGTCATATAGTTTTTTTTTTTTTGCTTTTTTTTGGCTACTTTTCAGCGGTGGAGAAAAAGGGGTGGCAACTTGGGGAAAGTGTAAGGGAGGTATTTAAGGCCATGGACCGGATAGGGGATTATCCTTCTTACCTCGTGGATGGATAGGGGAGTCAGGGAACACGTGGTGCTCCTTCTGCTGTGGACTTGTTTTTTTTTTTTTGGTGTGTTCCTGCATTATATTGGATTACAACAAGTGTAACAGCTAGGACTATAGAATTGTAACGGTGAGAATTTTTTTTTATGTGTGAAAAAAAATTGTATCTGGTGATCCGTCGTTATAATTGTATCTTGTGAACCATCGTTATAATTGTATCTTGTGAACCGTCGTTATAATCGTATATTGTGAACCGTCGTTATAATTGTATGAAAATATATGTACTTTGTCATATTTCTATAAACTTATTACAAACTGGTTTCTTTGTCTCTCTCTTCCCCACATGGTGGACCACCTACACTCACAATTAGTGAGACCAATAAGTCTTACGAGTTTTCCACACTATACATAGTAGTGTATATAAGAGAATGTCATTGACACATAAAAATAAAAATTTATTTCTTTGAATTTCAGAACTTCAAAAAAATGTGATTTATCAGATCATCCACAATATGTTCATTGTACATGTATTAGTAAAAGGTGCTTATTAATTATTAAAATATTTGTAATTTTTGAGTAATCTCCTCTTTGGGTACTTCTGGATCTGATATTGTGGCAGTACATAAGGCTTATATTGGAAGTATTCATAGTATCAAATTTATCTTTCATCAACATAATATTTGAGATACCAAATCTTGAATACAGGTAACCCCGTATAACACGGCACTTCTATAGCACGGGTTCACTCTATCACGGTTCGGAAATTGGGTAAAACCCTCGTACAACATAAAATGTAATAAAGGGTGCGTTCTTTTATACCTCCGCGTAACTCTGCGCCAGAGCCGTAACTAGGATTTTGGACGCCTATGCCCAAGAATAAAAATGGAGCCTTTTTAATTTTTATTACTAAAAAAATAATTTTAGTATAAAAAAATTATCTAATGACATTTAAATACTATATATGAATATAAAAATTTTTTTTGTTATTAATTTCAAATACATATTCTGAAATCTTCTCGTCGGCGTGTTTATTAAATCGGCGCCTATGGCAGGGGCCACATTGGCCATACCCTAGTTATGGCTCTGCTCCGCGCAAGCATTCTAATTGTTTTCATGGCTACTTTGAATGCTCTTTCAACAAATAATCCATTTAATGGTTAAGTTTTACAATTGGGACCCTTCTTTTCCCTCTAAAAGCTCATTTTAGAATTATAGATTCCTTCATCACGATACCATCGATAGTGCGGGCGCCGCCATCTTTCTTTCACCGTTGTTCCTAAATGCCTACAAACAGCAGCGCACACTCCCGTTGCAGAGCGACCGCTATTAACAAACGCACCTACAAACTGTTATCAGTTGATGAAGCTCATGCTGAGATCATCATATAGGATGAATAATCCTATGGTAAAATATTTATTTAAATAATAAATAAGTATTTTACCTATGAAAAAAATGAATAATAAATCCGATTTAAATAAGAATTTAACAGCATGTTTTTTAATTTTTGGAACCTAACCCCCCTTTACACACTAGTTCTTTGTTTCGTATAACATGAATTCGCATAACATGGCAATTTTTTGGAANGTGATCCGTCGTTATAATTGTATCTTGTGAACCGTCGTTATAATTGTATCTTGTGAACCGTCGTTATAATTGTATCTTGTGAACCGTCGTTATAATTGTATGAAAATATATGTACTTTGTCATATTTCTATAAACTTATTACAAACTGGTTTCTTTGTCTCTCTCTTCCCCACATGGTGGACCACCTACACTCACAATTAGTGAGACCAATAAGTCTTACGAGTTTTCCACACTATACATAGTAGTGTATATAAGAGAATGTCATTGACACATAAAAATAAAAATTTATTTCTTTGAATTTCAGAACTTCAAAAAAATGTGATTTATCAGATCATCCACAATATGTTCATTGTACATGTATTAGTAAAAGGTGCTTATTAATTATTAAAATATTTGTAATTTTTGAGTAATCTCCTCTTTGGGTACTTCTGGATCTGATATTGTGGCAGTACATAAGGCTTATATTGGAAGTATTCATAGTATCAAATTTATCTTTCATCAACATAATATTTGAGATACCAAATCTTGAATACAGGTAACCCCGTATAACACGGCACTTCTATAGCACGGGTTCACTCTATCACGGTTCGGAAATTGGGTAAAACCCTCGTACAACATAAAATGTAATAAAGGGTGCGTTCTTTTATACCTCCGCGTAACTCTGCGCCAGAGCCGTAACTAGGATTTTGGACGCCTATGCCCAAGAATAAAAATGGAGCCTTTTTAATTTTTATTACTAAAAAAATAATTTTAGTATAAAAAAATTATCTAATGACATTTAAATACTATATATGAATATAAAAATTTTTTTTGTTATTAATTTCAAATACATATTCTGAAATCTTCTCGTCGGCGTGTTTATTAAATCGGCGCCTATGGCAGGGGCCACATTGGCCATACCCTAGTTATGGCTCTGCTCCGCGCAAGCATTCTAATTGTTTTCATGGCTACTTTGAATGCTCTTTCAACAAATAATCCATTTAATGGTTAAGTTTTACAATTGGGACCCTTCTTTTCCCTCTGAAAGCTCATTTTAGAATTATAGATTCCTTCATCACGATACCATCGATAGTGCGGGCGCCGCCATCTTTCTTTCACCGTTGTTCCTAAATGCCTACAAACAGCAGCGCACACTCCCGTTGCAGAGCGACCGCTATTAACAAACGCACCTACAAACTGTTATCAGTTGATGAAGCTCATGCTGAGATCATCATATAGGATGAATAATCCTATGGTAAAATATTTATTTAAATAATAAATAAGTATTTTACCTATGAAAAAAATGAATAATAAATCCGATTTAAATAAGAATTTAACAGCATGTTTTTTAATTTTTGGAACCTAACCCCCCTTTACACACTAGTTCTTTGTTTCGTATAACATGGATTCGCATAACATGGCAATTTTTTGGAATCGTAACTCCCGTGTTATACAGGGAGTTACCTGTACTTTCAAGTATTTTAGTATTTGTAGATAATATTGCCCATCTCTATTAACAATACATAGAAAACGTTTCCTCTTGCCATTACAAACTGTTTTGTTTGTAAATGTATTAAAAATGTATTTATCATTAATGAAAGACTACAATGAAAAAATTTTCTCATATTAAATATTCATAATAATTGGGTTGATGATACAATAAATTTAAATATAACTTATAAATAATTGCATGCAGTTTTACCTTTCCAATTCCTGTTGCTATTTTAGCTAATTCTTCCTCTTCTTTCTTTAATTGTGGATCTTCTTGAATTATTTCTTCTTCTTCTAATTCTTCATCTATATCAGCATCTTTAGAACTTCCACTCCAACGTCGGCAACGTTCTATAAAAATTTCATTCATTATAAAAATATATTTTATCTGTATTTTTAAAATACTTTAAAAATCAATATTATCAAAACATTTTAACATAAATATAAACAACAATTATTCTATACTGTTTTCATACAAAATAAATAAATATAAAAAAAATATGAATCATTTACATCAAATATTCAGAACAGAAGTTTCTGTTTTTATTTATCAAATACAAAATTTTGTGAATTGATTACTTATTTTATTTTTTTTAAACTCCTTTGTGATATTTTCTTTTCATGATATTGAAGAATAATTATTAATTTAACTACAGTTGACCCCCCATAACACTGTTGATAATTCCATGTTGTCACTGTTGATAATTCCTTTTATATGAATTCCATGTTGTACGAGTCACTTAGATTTTACAAATACGTGTGCTGGGCTGTGAATGGCTCACATATTTGTAAAATCTAAGTGACTCATACAACATGGAATTCATATAAAACGGAATTATCAACAGTGTTATAGGGGGTCAACTGTATTGCAAAAGCAGTGCGGGGAAAGACTGATCCCCATTAGGGGAAATGATGATTCCCATTAAATGTATGTATACGTGTACGTTTGTATATATACTGTTTAAACAGTATACAGGATTGTGATTTGTGAACTATTAAATAATAAATAATAATAATGTATTACAAATTACATCAAACAGTAACTTAGATAAATTTTGATTCAAAAAATAAAATAAAACAATAAATTAATTAATTTTCTGAAAAATAATTTCTCTCCACAAAAGGAAAAAATAATTAGTGGAGAAAAAACTTCAGTGATTTTTTTTAAGAATCACTCATGTCTCAAAAGCCCTGTCAATTACATTAACATAAAATTGATTAAAAACAGAGCTCAGATATAAAAAATAAGAAAAAATATAAAAATAAAAATCCATGACTCTATAACATATAAGATTTCTTTTAAAGACATTATTACTGGAGAAGTAAAAAAAGCATGACATTTTTATTTTCTCCTTCACATCACTTTCAATTTTATGTAGAAATAATAATAGAATTGATGTAAAAAATTAAGAGTAATCATAGTAAATAAAATAGATCTTGAAGATATAACCAGAAAACTTATTCTTATGTAAAGCAAGTTCCGGATCAAAAAGAGTTCAATAAAATTTTGATGTTCTAATTTCTTCAAAAATTGATATACAAAGTCAAATAATTATCTGTCACATTTTTTAAAAACTGAATTTAAAAACCAATTCTATATTAATCTGTTTTGTTCTGTTCCATTATATGTCTAGTCAAATCCATGATGAATATATCACAAAACTTAATACTCATAGAATAAGAAAAGTTTAAAAATCCAATGTGACACTAATACTATTTTATGCTGATCTTTTTATGTTTATAATTTATTTGAAATACATGTAAAAATAAATGGGAAATTGGATATGCAACATGTGATTTATAATATACATGAGAAAAGATTTGGCATTTAGTGTTTGTTCATTTCTCAAAGACCTAAATATCAATCATTAGTTTATTCTATTATTATTTATATCATATATTATTTAACATAAAAATATGTCCTACCAATATTATTATTAATATTAGCATGGTTGTGGTGAAGTTTTCATCTCTAAAATGTAAACGTCGAATGTCGACGTTCTCATTTTAGAGACAAAAACGTCAACTGCACCTCGTCATTGATAGGGCATATTTTTATTTACTTAAATAGCCATGTTATTATTGAAACAATAGCTACAAAGATAACCATTTGAATCTTAAAAGTATTCTGATACTTAAGCTTATTAATATAGCTTAAAAATGTCAAGTTTTAGTAATTTAAACTTTTACAAAAAGTTATTTTGGGTTGGATTTAAAATGGTTGGTTAATACAGGTATACCTCACCTTATGTCAGTAATTGGTTCCAGGAGAGGTGACTTAAGTCGAAAAATGACATAAGTCAAATTTACTTGTNAAATATGAAAAAATATATTATTAGTATAGTATAGTAGTATATCTCATGTAATTAATATATCGCTATTAACCTACTTTGCATTGAATTTTCATCAATGTTAAGCCTAACAAAAATTTTTTTAAAATAATAATCGTTGCTATTGTATCGTTAAAAATTAGAAAATTAAGCCTTGCTTAAATACTGGCTCCCTTTCATGGTCGAGCCATGTTGCCAGCTAAAATGTAAAAATACTATTAAAGTAGCCAAGACATAGCCAAATATTGTAGCGCCACATCACTAGTGGACATTTGAATTTGCCAACTAGAATGATCGGTTAACCGATGTGACAGTTAATCGGGGGTCGGATAATCGATGCTCTACTGTATTTTAATATGATTTTATGTGCCTTAACACTTTTCTAGTGATATTACGACTTCAATATTTGTGGCGGACAGACGTAAAGTTGAATAAAATGACTTAAACTTGATTTTTATTTTTCCATATACTTTTTTAANCGATGCTCTACTGTATTTTAATATGATTTTATGTGCCTTAACACTTTTCTAGTGATATTACGACTTCAATATTTGTGGCGGACAGACGTAAAGTTGAATAAAATGACTTAAACTTGATTTTTATTTTTCCATATATTTTTTTGACAAATGACATATACAGTAATACCTTGACTTATGCTACTCCGACTTACGCAAATCCGGAGTTATGCAATTTTCAAATCTCATCGATTCATCTTTTGTTTGAGCGCCACTCAACTATTGATTACTCATTCCCCTCACACTATTGTTTAGCTTACATGTTCAGATGTGTCACGCGGAATCGACACATAGCTCCAATTTATTTTGTGTTATTTATTTCTGTATTTGTTATATCTATGGAGAATTGAGAGACTCTATGTGGTGATTTCTTGCAACCGTGAACAAATCAAAAGACGAGATAAGATTAACAATAACATTTATTAGCTTACATACATCTGACTTGGATTTTACACAAATTGCTAAATTATACCCCGACTTATGTGAATTCGACTTACGCGGTTATCGCTTGGTCCCACCTATCGTGTAAGTTCAGGGTATTACTGTAATCGAGAATGACATAACTTGAGGTATACCTGCACCACAATGTAATGAACATAATTTTTAAATTGTAAAGGCAATATTTAAAGTGCATAATTAACATTATATTGGTAACACAACAATTTTGATAAGAATTAAATTAAGAAAACATAAAGATCATTTTATCCCAAAATGATAATTGTTTTATAATTTTTATAGTTTCTATATCTTTATAATCTTTTAATTTATATATCTTTTTCTAAGCTCTGCATGATCCTAGAGTGTGTGAAAAATCAAACCATTTTGAATCTATAGCTATATCAGCCAGAACCTTCATAACTTAACACACTTATACATTTTGTTATACCTTAATATGTTTTGTGTCATGTATAAGCCATATGCTAAATAAATAGCACTTTTTTTAATTTCGTTATTATTTACAGGTATAAAAAGTTCGGAAAAAATAAAAAAAGCTACCCATGGAATTACTGTAAGAAACATTACATCCTACCATGCTACAAATATTTTGTTTCTTTACACCAGAGGAAAAATTCACCTTATTTGCCATGTTACCTCAGTCATAACTCTGTTATTTGTAACTACAAAGTTCACTATTTTACTACAAGAGGTCTCTATCACAGCAAAACATACAGGCAGGGAGCCTATACTTGAGCAAATATATATACAGGGTGTCCTAAATTAAACTTGACATTTTCCAGCTGGCTACAGCAAAACTATTCATCAGAAAGTCATGAAAGTTTGGAAGTACCTTAATGAGATGATGGGAATTTTTTTCTAGAGCAAAAAAGTTAAGTCCAGAAACCACCACTAGAGAGCATATTATAGCTTTATACAGAACATAGCAATGAGCTACACAAGTTATGTCTAATGTGAACAAAACATGTTCAAAACATGATGGCCACCATTGTCTGCTACCATCTGAAAGCGTAAAAGAATATGTTCAATGGTTACATGCAATTTATGCCTTGGAATGTTACATACATCCTTAATGTCAGACAGCAATGTCATGGGATCATGGTAGATTAAGTCTTTGAGATAGCCCCAGAGCAAAAATTGCATAGATTTAAGTCTGGAAATCTCACAGGTCAATATGCCACTATTTCAGCTTAAAAAGTGCACTCTAGTGATGGTTTTTGGAACTAATGTTTTTTGCTCTAGAAAAAATTCCCCGTCATCTCATTAAAACATTCCCAAACTTTAATGACTTTCTGATAAATAGTTTTTGCTGTAGCCAGCTGGGAAATGTCAAGTTTTATTTGAGACATCCTGTATTTATTGCCTTTCCAAATATCTAACAATAATTAATACTAATGATGTCATGTTACTCAATGATAATTGGAAACTTGCCCTGTATAGTAAGGACTTTACTCATTTAGCCAATCAACTACTAGAGCCATAACATGTTGGGTATATCCTTCTTTCACATACTTTTTACTTTTAGTTTTATTTTTATTCACATCTTTGCCTGTTTTAGTGATAACATTTTCTTTGTACATTAGTTTTCTATTTCAAAATATGTTTGCATCTTTTAAATTTAAAAACACTCATTCTTTTTAAAGAACATATTCACTCTCTTCAAGTTCAATGTAAGCTATAGAAGTTTACAACTGTTATTTGCTGAACCTGACCTATAGAGCTAGTGGAACTGAGTTGAGTGCCACCTGTAGGCAGGCAAAGAAAACTTTTTTGGGAAAACATGTGCGTCTTTGGGTTAGATACACAGTGAAACACAATGTTTGTTTTCTTTCTGTATAATGAACCACAACTTTCTGCCACACAAAACTTCAAAAAATACCTGTTGTGTGGTTGGTTGTAGTGTTACGTATATTACTGCGCCACCAGGTACAAAGTTTTATTCGTTTCCAAATGAAAAATACCCTGCAAGGAAAGAGAAATGGCTGGCTGCAATTCAGTGGATTGAGTAAGTATTATGCTTAGGTATTTTCATTGAAGGTATTTTTTTAAAGTTGTGTGTGTATATATAACTGTGACATTTAAAGGCATTGCATTGTAATGATCTCTAAAATGGCTAGGGTGCCTTTTTTTTTAGCGGTAAATAGGTGTAGTCCACTTTATATTTTACGTATCCCACCCATTGTTTACATAGTGCATTGAGTAATAACTCGTTAAAAATAGCAAAACATTTTGTATTTCTGTAAATCTAAAATCCTGATAAATAACAAAATTTTAAAAATGCTTAATGATGTCATTATTAGCCATGGGACAGTATTAAAGATCATTTCAAGTAATTCATTAGTCAAAAAGTGATCAAAGTTGCTTGATAATTGTAATATAATATGTAAAATTAAAAACACTTTTTCAGAAAATATGGCAAACCTTGGCAACCCACAAAGTACCAGCAAAGTCTGCAGTCAGCATTTTGTAGGTGGACAAAAATTGNTTCAAGTAATTCATTAGTCAAAAAGTGATCAAAGTTGCTTGATAATTGTAATATAATATGTAAAATTAAAAACACTTTTTCAGAAAATATGGCAAACCTTGGCAACCCACAAAGTACCAGCAAAGTCTGCAGTCAGCATTTTGTAGGTGGACGAAAATTGACCACCCTGACCATCCAGCATATGTTCCCACATTTTTTCCAACATGCTACAAGAAACAGGGTTGTGGAAATGTTGCTAGTTTTTAAGGCAGGCAAGAAGGAAAGAAGAAAAGGTGGAGAGCATGGATCTGTAACAGCATGGATGTGGACACCGAAACTATACCTGTGATCACCAAACATGACACTGGAACACAAACTGATGTAGGGGAACCACTTTATAGTACACATAATATGGCAGTCTTATTTTGTGAAAAATTATGTAATGATGTGGGTACCCAAACTAATATTTATTGTAAAAAGCAGTTTCTCTCCTTTCTTTAAATTAATTTTTCTCAGGGTTTCGGTAGATATTGCTTCAAAACCATACTGCCTTCTAAGAAACATTATTTGTACGCCACGAAAAGGAGAAGTACATGCCACCTTTGTAGCCCTGATTTTGTTTCCCCGCATCGCCGCTAGAGGCGCCTCGATCTAGTTTCGCCATTCCTTCCACTAGCTCTATAGGGAATCAAAACATTCCCAATTAAAAAGATTAACAGGATTTGCTTCCATAACAAAAGGTAACAAAAACATAAATATTTCTCATTATTTAAATGAAAAAAATAACATTAAAATTTTTAGAAAATATGTAGCTAAGAAAATAATTACTAGTAAATAAAGACACTAAACACACCTTACATACTTTTCCAGCAATTAAATTGAAGTTCTACTGTGGAAGTTCCAGCTTCAACTATTATTGATATTAGTAAATAATTTTTAAATAAGATTAATTTAGAAATACATACTTAGTGTAGAAATACATAGGTATTTCTAAATTCTAAATTTTCTAACTTAGATTAAAACATTTCAAATCATCAGATGTTACTTATCTACTAAATATAACAATTCACTCATATCAATTCAATCAACTAAGATCATCAGATCATTTCTACATCTTTCCTTTAAAATTGTAAAATATGTAGAATCTCATATGTAAATCTGCTTAGTTTTTATTTTTAAAATTTAAAGTAATTTAATACTAAATTTTTCTGCCAAAATCTTTTGCTCACCTTAAACCATATATGATTTATGCTTGTAAATTATCACCATAACAGAGTAACCATTTATTTATGTCTGAGCTCTGAAATGTAAAAGATAATATAATATATAGTATCGAGTAACTGACCAGCATCAGTGTATGGAAATGGTGGTGCAGGAAAATCATCCCTCTCAATCCTTGGTACCTCATAAGCTTTTGGTGGTTGTGCACCAGGATAATGGGCTAATTCAATTGGTTCTTCATTATTCATATGTGGAGAACGAGGTCGAGGAGTAGTAGCTTGAATTGATTCGACTAAAAGTATGAAAAAACTTTAAATTAGAACTCCATGACTTATATAATTTTTGTCAATAAAATTTTCTATAAAGGGTTAATAAAACAAAAAGAACATGTAAGTTACCACTACAAATAAATAAGACAAATGTGGTATTTATTAAAAATGATATATAAAATCTTAAGTGACTTTGATTGTTTTATGCTGTGAATTTTGTTCATATTAAAACAAAGCTAATAATTTAAAGTATATTTTAAATAAAAAAGTCTCTACAGCTATATAATCTATGTTTTATACCTAACAAAAAGTTAGTCACATGCCATTTTGAAACTGATGCAGGAAATTAAGCTTAATAAAATATATACTAATTCTTTCAAAGAAGTTTTATAAAAATAAACATATTAACAAATTTATAGAATAACATCATAGATAATTTAATTGGCCAAATGTATTACATTGGAATTAAAATGACAGATGACCACAACATTTGCCAGATTCAGTACATAAAATAATTTCAATTAGATAAGTACTAGTGTGAGGCTCCAGAAATGTACTGGAACCACACAAAACTGTAAAAGGCAATTTATAAAATAATTTTATAAAACTATTAATGTTATAAGGTAGAAATTCTATGACTGTAAATGGACATGTTTGAATTGAATGAAAAAAAATTGAGAGTAGTTCTCATATTTTAACAAAGAATAATGTAAGTCCTAAGATAAACCATCTTTGGTTGGGATCAAATGGATAGATGATTTTGACTCATCCTGCAATCTAGATTACAATCTTGTTACAATTGGTACTGAGTGACGACCAATTAGAAAGTGTAGATGAGTAGAAACAACTAATCGAAGTGGTCGTATGGGACCTGAAAAAAATCTATAAAAATCCATGTATCAAGGACACAGGGAGCTTCACCCTGCCTTCTGATTGTGTGGTATCATTCTCAGTTAAAAATCTCCTCTGCGTCCCGACATTGAACCAGATTACCCCTCATCTTCTCGATGGACTTTCTCCAATCAATGCCTTGGGGCTGCCAAACGAGACCAAGAAGGATAGTTCCAATAGGACATTCACACTTTGAGAGAAAAAAAGAAATCGGAAGACCTCTATACCAAACACACCCACTTACGATTGAGAATTGCTTGGATATCCTGTTATTACACACAGATCAGTGACATCACACTAGCAATATTTCCTAAAAGTTAGGGGATCTCTGCACTTATAAATATTTCTTAGATTTCAAAAACTATTTAAAATATATGTTTTTGAATAGATATTCTGCTAAATCTTTTTTATCAGTAAAAAAAAATATTTAATTTATAAAACTCACCTAAAACTTGCATTCCTGGAAAAAGAAAAAAATAATTAAATTGAATTTTTTATACAATCATACGTATATTATTCTATTAACAAGAAAATCACCATTCATACCTTGTTTTGTTGATATTGGTCTAAAACCTAAATTTCGTTTGCCTGTTCCTTCTAAAAATTAATAATTAAAAAGTTTTTAAAGTATTTTTTAAAATAATCTGCTTTGTATATTTATTTATTTACTTTTTTTATCACAATTCAATATATATTTGAATTCTTGTTCAATATTTGATATTTGAAAATTATTTTAATTAAAATAATTATGAGTTTAAAAATTAGCAAATATTATAAGATCAACATGTAACTAAAATATTTTAAATAAATCAAATAATAAATATTAATATACCTGGAGGCCTATGGAACTGAGGAGATTTCGGAGGTCGTGGATCGATTGGTCGTCTCAAATATCCCTGTATAGGTTCTTCAGTCAGATAGCTATGTGTATAAACTCTACTCAAATCTGATAGTAGCAAGTCTCTTTCTGCAAATATTCCTGGGCTGGTCCGGCCATACTATAAAATATTGGATATCATTATTAAATAAATTGGACAATTTTTTTAAAGATCCCAACAAATCCTAAAAATTATTTATTATCTTCAGATTATTATTATTATTTTTTTCAATATCAGCCAAATTTATTTCTCCAACATTCCTAACATGTACAGTACAGGTCACTGCTTTCTAGGAGATCAAACAAAATTTTCCACTTAAATCCAATAACTTCGAAGATGAACTAAAAGGCTCAAATGTACTAAGATTTAAGTGGAATATTTTTGTCTAATCTTCAAGAAAACAGAGATACATACTTTTTTCTTATGATTTTATTTGTTTTTAGTTACCTCAAAATAATATTATTATTGTAAATAAACTTACTAACCTTTCTATTAAATGATCCAAATGAACTGAAAGAATGAGAACCATGCAGGCTGGGAGAGGAAGTCAATTGATATTGCTAATAACAACATAACCATGGAAAACATGCAACAAAAATTATAAATAAATTAAAGGAAAACAAATTGTTATAGCACTTAAGGATTTTAGATTTGAATCATATTTTAAAGCTATTACTGGATTTATATCATTTATATTATATTCCTATTTTATTAATGGATTTATTATTATATTTAATACTGGTAATTAATATTATGTTAATTATTTTAAAATTAACATTTAAGGCAAATTTGCCTAGTCCAAAGCAAGAATTTATCCACTTGAACATAAAATTCTTTTCATAATTTCATATGTAAATATTCCTTTTTTTTATTTTTGTAGTTATTCCTTTTTGATAACTGATTCAATTTTATATCATCAACAAGATACAATGCTAATAACTTTCAAGGAGTAATATTAAAATCAACAGTTTATTTTTTTTAAATCAATAATGTTTAATAGTATGGTAAAATATACTGGAATATATCATACTATCTTCAGACTTGTTTCAAATCTAAATAAATTTAATTCAAATTTAAATTATATTTATTCTAATATTTAGTCATTTTGTGTGTTCACTCCATTTTTTCATTTAAGTGTATCTCAAAGTTATCTTACATTGTTATATATAGAATTTAATCAATATTTAAATTGAAGCAATGCTTTAATATGTATGATATCTTTTTAATAATCAAAGCAGATAAATCTCATTATTTCAAGAAATTGATTGAGCCATTGTTCTGATCACAGGTCATGAACTTTTGTAGATAGAAAATGCATCATGCCATGAGCATACAAAATTGATAGAAAGCTTCTATTTCTTCAAAGCTGGTGGACGACATTGGTCTATTCATTTGATGAGTTTCTGCCTCTGTATGGTTTTTTTCTTGTGCGAATAATTTTCTCATCTGCCAAAAGTTTGAAATAAGAGATTGTGCTCCTGCCTACATTTTTTCCAGTATACCCAGTTGGATCAGACTGAAGTCTGAGTATATTATGAGATGGTCTTTTCCATGAATCTGGTGTACTTGATGCATGTGTCTAGAGTTCCATCATGATTTCTATAATTTTCTGATGAATGGTGCTGAAATTTCTTCATATTTTTCATTGCTTATGTGTAGTTCTGAATATTCTTTCTGATTTTGGCTGTTTGGCTTTCTGATGAGAAAGCACCTGAAACTCTAAATCCTACAACTGAGAATCATCATCACTTTTATCGTGTGACTCATTTTCATCAATTTGCTGAAGATGGGAAATTATTTCATCAGGAATCATTTTTTTCTTCTGGCCTTTGAAACAATTTTTACACTAACATTGCCAGGTGAACAAGGCTTTCTGTTGAGGAATTATGAACAAGAGTGATTAATTATCACTTTTGTTCACAGTTGCATTCAAATTACCCAATCAGGAACTGTGACATGATAAATGCAATGCAGATTTGCATGATTTCCCATGCAGATCAATGATCAGCTTGTGGTATAAACATGGGGTGAGAATAAAATGTTTGTAAAATGTGGAATTATTTCAAAGAAGTGTATATTCATGTGAAAGAGCATGAAAAGTTATGTAAATTTTTGAAATTTGAATAAAAAATAAAATAGTATTGAAAAGTTGATAATTCAAAACCATCATGCTGGTCAATTGACCAGCCTCGGTACTTTAATGTTAATGTAGCTGAAAAATAGCTCAATTCATTATGGCATTGTTTCCAACCTTCTGCTATGCTCCACCTAAGTCTTTCTAAAATTCTTATGTCCCCTAACATATACAGGAGTTATACGGTTAACTTAAACTCTGGGCAAGTCCATTTTTGAATTGCCCCACGTTGGGAAACACTGTATTGTTTGGCATTAACTAAACCAAGCTTGAAAGAAACATATGCCATATTGAGGCAAAGTCTGGTCAGCAAGTTACACTAAAGTAGTTTTGTCAAGTTGATAGAATTGCCATCACTGAGTACTGTGTGTCATGCTGAATCGAACATTTTTGATACTAGATTAACTTCTAAAGTATAATTTTTATTTGTTTTTATATTTTTCAATATATTTATTTTGATAATATCAAAAGTGCTCAGAAATTAAGTAAAGAGAAACAAAACACCTTTTTTTGCCAAGAAATAAATATAATTGTAAAAAACAAATGTTTTCAGCCCAATTAATAGGCCATCTTCAGGTCAAACAAAAATGGAATGTAAATGTTCCATGAATAGAACATAAAAATTTTAAATCAAAAATTTTTTTACAAGAGAAAAATAATGGAAGAATACATAAAAATTAAAATAAAACAAAAATAACATAAATCTTCAATGTATTAATTCTGGTCCAAGTTTCAAGTAAATTCTTAACCAAGTACTTCCCATGCCGAAGGCAGGATCTCGGCATCCCTCGCATTTAAACAGCCTTCTCCTATCCTACTTCTGTATATTTCAATCTTCTCCGCCGTCATTGCTAAAGTTGGGGAAGACAGAGGTTTGATGATTGTTGCCTCGTCCCATTTTACCTCAAAGCCTTGGGCTTGCGCCATTTGGGACAAAATNTATCATCAACAAGATACAATGCTAATAACTTTCAAGGAGTAATATTAAAATCAACAGTTTATTTTTTTTAAATCAATAATGTTTAATAGTATGGTAAAATATACTGGAATATATCATACTATCTTCAGACTTGTTTCAAATCTAAATAAATTTAATTCAAATTTAAATTATATTTATTCTAATATTTAGTCATTTTGTGTGTTCACTCCATTTTTTCATTTGAGTGTATCTGAAAGGTTCTTTTTTATTGTATTTCTTGAAATTTAAATAATTTTGATGATTTTTTATTTCTTTATTTTTCTTGTTTTAAAATATAAAAATGTGTTATACAATTTTCAATTTTATTTAATTGTGGTTTTTTATTTCCTTTATTTGTTATATTTATGTTTGTATAATTGTAAATTTGTAGGTAGATATCAATTGTCCTTTTGGACTTTTCTGCTTAATTGTAAAAATAAATAAATAAATTCTTATTTAAAATATTTTAAACATTACTATGATAAAAGGACTCCTGTTCTATTAAATGTTCAATTTAACTTCTATTAAATTAACTTGGTCATTAAACTAAAATTTAAATTAAGCTTAATTTCATGATGTTATGATTAGGTTAATTAATATTGAAGTATAAATAATGAAGCTAAAGAAATCATTGGATTTTTGATCTGAAGACAAACAAATGATAATCAATCTACAAATGATCTGTTTTGTAGATGATTATTTATATAATTTGTAAGTAACAAAGGATAATTAGTAACAAAGCATGTAACAATATGTATGCAAATAAACAAAATTAAAAAGAATACTCTGAAAACTGAATGATAAAAAATGCACAAAACTAGTATATGTCAAATATAGAGGAGAAGGTGGTATTATGGAACACTGCGGGTATTATGGAACCACCCCATTTCGAACTGATAATAAAGGCGAACTGTAGCAAAATGTGGATGAACTGAACTAGGCAGACATCCATAGCAAGGGGAAAACCCGTTTTACTTCAGTTAAACGGTTGTCCGTATTTAATCAGCAAATTTGTTTTTTTCAAAATTCAGAAGTTTTGAATGCTAAGTGAATTTAATTATTTTTAAAATATAAATCGCATAGTTGTAGGTTCACTGGTGCATGTATTCCGTTCCAGAGACTTAGGGGTACATATTAATCTGTGTGATGTTCACGTTTTTTAAATTTT